ATGAGGTGCGAATGACAATAAAGAAACTCTGACTCTGACTCTGCTGCACATCCTTTCCAGCCTGATCCCTCTGTCTCGCCAATTGGTACAAGTCCTTCTTGCCCTCTTTAGTGCAGACTTATATATATGTGTGTGTAATATATTTTTTCCATTTAGTTTGCAATGCAGCCCACGCTCGTTATGACTCATTGTGCAGCTCAGGTCACAGGTCAGGTCAGGTTATTATAAAGACTTTCAGTTACCAACATTATGCAGCGCACATTCCTTTAAAAACAATCAAACAAAAACACAGAAGCTTCCAGGTCAATCCGACAGTGCTGATGTTTTTTATTGTACTTATACAAGTTTGAGAGTTGTTGTTTTCTTTTAATTATTTAACGGTGAACACATTAACGAAGCACAGCTACCAGAAACTACAAACAATCCAGTTTGTCCGGTGTACACAAGAGAGGAAACATCTGGTTCTGGCTTCACATCGGTACCACGACAGCTGAGGTCATGAAACATCTTTATGTTTTTAACTATTCTCTTCAAACAACGTAATTAACTAGTGCTGATAAAGACAATGGTCATTTATAACGTTGGTTTTATATCATACTGACTCTCCTCTGAGAACAGAACATGAAGCGGAGGTGATCGTCTTTCTGCAGAGCTGCAGAATCTGTAATGACTTTAAAACAGCCCATCTGTGACACCCGCTGCAGGACAAGAAGATGCATTTTTAAAACAAAATGTTTACACGAAGGAAAACAAAACAATAAATCTGTAATCGATTTAAAAATACTGCACTGAAAGGAAGACAGCACCACCACAAAGTTAATGACGAGACATTCAGATAAGGCGTCGCAGCTAAAATCATCAACATTCAAATGGTGAATAAACGCCTTCGCTTATCGTTCGTGTTAGTAAAACTACCAGATGTGTCTTCTTCACACAACAAAAAATAAATCAAAAAGAAAACTTGGTCGTAGTGAGAGCAGGTGGATGTTAAAGTGCCAAAAACAACTTCGATTATAACAGATATAGATTTTTCATTGATTGAATAAATTTTTTTTAAGGAGTTAGCTTCATTTTTTAAATGATAGGTAACAGAGATATTTTTTCAAAGTGCAATAAACTATTCTTACAGGTGTAAGGTGGACAAAGTAAGGTCGAATTTAACACTGACGGCACAGCAGGAAGCAAAGCAAAACAGTTTTTATGAAGACGTGTCACAGCACGGGCAGATTAACAGTAAACTGACCAGTCGAGGTTTTCAGTAACATGCGGGCTGGTTCCTCTGAGCCGCGATGAAGCCTCATCTGTGCAGGTTAGATGATGAAAGTACCAGAAGTTCATGCTTCGTGGTTAAACCACAATTTAACTAGCAGCTCTTAAAGCAAACAAAGCAAAATAAAGCATTTGATATTTGTTGTTGTCCATGTTGTGTCACACAAACAGGAAGTGAGGACTGAACTGGCCCTCGACAGAAAAAAAAAGGCAATTTCTACTAAATTAGATTCATAAATATGTTCTTTTTGCTCCGCAGCACATGGCTTTTATATATATACACACACATACACACACACACACATATATATATATACATATATATATATACATATATACATATATGTGTATATATGTGTGTGTGTGTGTAAAACCTTAAAAAAAGGACAATACTGAAATAAATAAGTGCACAATGATAATGGTGAAACATTGTTGAAGGCTTTGACCAGAACAAATAAAACGAAGAGGAAAATAAATAAAAAGAGTGTGATGTGTTTGTAGGTTCTAGGTCAGGGCTATTCAACCGGCGGCCCAGGGGCCAAATCAGGCCCACGGGTGAGCTCAGTTCAGCCCACCTGGGTTCATTTTGAGATAAAACTTGATTTTAAATCGTAAAACAACCTTATTTAATCACCAACTGCTGGATGCCGGCCCTTGAGCTCTCGGCTTTCAGTAACTGTGACTCCCTGAGCAGTTCAGCTGAATAGCCCTGTTCTAGGATGGATAAACGTCTCTCGGCTCTGGTCACAGCTGTAAACAGTAAAGATCGAAGCAGGTTAAAACCTCCGGGCACAGCCTCAACCTCAAAAACCTCTCCTGGTCTAAATGACAGAAACACACCAAACATGAACACTTTCAGTTTAAGATGTACCAATAATCAGCGTGTTTGGCGTCGTGTTAACATGGAACAGAGATGCTGCTGGGAAGCGGTGGTCCCATCCTTCAGATGGCGGCAACATGTACAATAAATTAAATACATGATATATATTATTCCTATTTATATAGATATATGTATAAATAAATAGTACAGACGGTGAGTTTGGTCTTGGCCTGACGGAGCGTAACGAATAAAACGTGGTTGGCGTTAACTCGACTTGGAAGGGGGAGGAGCTAACATTTGCACCGACGCCCACCGAGGCAGACAAAAATCCAAAGGACTCCTGATCCTCTCGCTGCCTCCTTTAGGACCTGCTCTCACCTAACAACATTTTCTTTCTCGGCGGACGTTAACGACAGCTACCTTAACGATTACTGGAAACACGGAGGAAGGACCAGGAGGCTCAGGTAGACCCGGGTGTTGATGGGGTCGTTTGATCCTGTGGCTTTTCTAAGACGCGTTTGTACAAGCGGTGGATGGTGGCTGGAGAAGCCAGTTTCTCTGTGTCTTTAGGGGTGAGAGGAAGTGCTGTTTGTCTTCAGGGTGACACAGATGTGTGTTTCATAACTGTGTGTCAGTTTAGGACCAGATTGTTCAAATCAACTCAAAGTCTGGCTCTGGGGTGGTTTTGTGGTTTTATTTCTCGGGTCAGTTGGGCTCAGGTGACTTGTAGGTCCAGCTCAAAGTGGTCCCGTCGGCTCGAATTAGACGCGAGTGAGGAAGCCCAGGTTGAGGGAGCCGGGGATCTGGATGGTTTCCAGGGCGACGGAGGAGGGGCTGAACGGGAAGGTGACGGGATAGATCATCTTTGTGTCCATCAACAGCTGTGGACTCTCACAACGATCTCGCAGACGAGTCTGAAACAGTAAAGAAAGAAATATTTTAATGGTGACAACAAAAAAAATCCAAGTTTCGAGGGGAAAAAATACAATAGAAAAACAGAAAGCTAGGTTGTTTTTGCACAACAGATACAAGGCAGCAGCTTTTATTTTGAAATAACTAAGAAAAATAAAATAAGTTAAATGTGATGCTTCAGTGGTCTACAAGTCAGATCTGCAAGAAAGAACTCTTAGTATCAAGACTAAAAAGTACTTTATAATAAAATAAAAAATAAGTAAACAGATCTTGAGTAAAATAAATCTTTAAATGGATGCAAAAGCTTGCAAGACATTAAAAAACACTAAAACAATACAAAGGCGAAACTTTAAACATATCGTGGTTAAAAACAGGAGGTGAAGTTACAGAGAGAAAAGTTCCCCAGGTTCTGATCAACGCTTACTCTTTTTAAATATAAAGAAAAGTTTTTGTACTGTAATAATTAAAGCCTTTAGAGAAGTCATGTATCATTTTACACCTACTTGTATCTTAGGTATATTGGATTTAAAATAAACTGCTCTGTGAACGTACAAAACACTTCCTTTGTAGCAGGGAGTGTCTTACGAGCTTCACTTCAACACAAATATTCTTGCATGAAGGTGAAGTAAAATGTGACCGTCTCTGAGTGAAGCACAGTTCAATCACAAAGCTGCTGTCAATAAAAATGGTGGTCAAGAAACAAGTCAAACACGAATTAACTAAAGAACTCTACTTCCTCAGGCTGAGGCGAGCTGGACTGGGAAGCTCGGTCCTCCCCACCTTCTATAGGTGTGCAGTGGAGAGCATCCTGTGCTCCAGCATCAACGTGTGGCATGGAGGCTGCACAGCTGCAGAAAGAAAAGCTTTGCAGAGAGTGGTGAAGGCTGCACAGAAGTCTGTTGGAGTCAGTCTCCCCACCATCACAGACATCTACACCTCTAGATGTAGGAAGAGGGCCACCTGCATCATGAAGGACCCCACTCACCCAGCACACACACTTTCTGCCCCGCTCCCCTCAGGCAGGAGGTTGCAGAGCATTACGTGTAGAACCACTAAACTGAGGAACAGCTTCTACCCTGAAGCAGCTAGACTCATCAATCTTTAACCAGAAAAATCACTGTAATGTCACTTTAATTTGTGTTATTTCACTTTATCCATGCTGCTGATTTCTTGCCTTTAAGCTGCTGTTTTCATACCCATCTGCTCGCAACAGACTCATGTTCAGGCTGCTGTTTAATACACCGTATTATATTATATCATTATTGTTTAGTGTATACCTTAGATCCTTGTGTACTGTTTCTTTTTATACTTTATATTTTTGCTATTTTAGGTTTAACATTGACCTTGAGTACACAATTTCATTCCACCTCATGTACCACATGTGATGTGAATGACAACAAAGAACCTTGAATTAAATGCATCTTTCTGTTGTAGATAACTTAAAAAAAATAAATAAAACAGTGTCTAAAACTTCCACCGTTTGAAAGGAGTTTTGAAGGTCCAACAAAGTTAAGTCAGGTCCTCTGGACAGTTTCTTTGTGTTGAAACGTTTCACCTTTCATCCAAAAGACTTCATCAGTCTGGGGAGCCACAACAAACTCAGTCCCAGTCTCAGTCATGGCTGCCTCAGAGGAGTCGATGGGGGAGAGGGCGGACTCCAGAAACCATCTTATCACCATCAAACTGGTTGACCCACTACGTAAGTGTGCTGCTTATGGGACTGAGTTTGTTGTGGCTCCTCGACTGATGAAGTCCTTTGGATGAAAGATGAAACATTTCCACACAAAGACACTGTCCAGATGACCTGACTTAACTTCGTTGGATTTTTCACCTGAATTATTGAGCATGAAATTTTGAGTTTTGAAAGTGTTTTTGTTGAGCATTTTTAAATAAAGCTGGTGTGTGAGATTTTGTTGTGATTTATTGATAAATTCTAATAAATTACCTGTATGGTTCGTATGAAAGCGATTGATACTCTCTCTTCAAACTCGTTGACCGGTGTGTACAAGTTCAGGACTTTTACAATCTGGAAGAAACAAACCAAAACAAAAACTTCCAACTTCAGTAGCTGAATTTTAGCCTTTATGAAATGTGAGGAAATTATTATTATTATTATTATTAATTGCTGTAAAAATTAGAGTTCACCTGAGAGGTGGTGAGAGCCTGGCACATGGAGCAGATGGCCTCTGCGTCCTCATCGGTCTTTTTCTTCATCTGAAGCAGCTGAGCGGCCTGAATCAGAGGCTCCAGCGTCTCTTTGGCTCCACAAGTCATCAGTCCTTTGTCCCTAAGCCACTCCTCCAGCTGGCTTACATTGTACCTGCATGCATGCATCAGTAGTTAGTGGCTCAAAAAAAAAAGATTCACTTTCATCATCTAAAAAAATTCCACCCCCCCCGGAGCTGGAACGATTCCTACTTGATCTGCATGCCTTTGCACCAGGAGCACATGTCTTTGCGCAGAAGCAGGTTGTTGAGGGTGATGGCGCCGATGATGTAGAACAGCTGCTTCACCACCTGCTTGATGAGCTCGGGGTCGGTGCCGTGCTGGCACATGATGGAGTGAAAGGTGTTGAGTTGCCGCAGAATGGAGTCCAGGGTATAGGTGCCTTCATCAGCGATGCTGGACGTGCGCTTGCGAAGACCTGTGGGCTTCACCCCCGACACGCCCTGGATGGTCTCGTGTTCCAACATGCCAGACACTGAAAGGAACGCACAAACACACACTTAGCAACTGCACTCAGTAACTCCACAGTATTGTTGGTCTGTAGGAGTTCCACACACAGACATGTGCATGTACACACCTATCATGGGCTGCAGGATGTTCTCCATGCATTTGATCAGCTGCTGGTAGATCTGAATGGCCAAGTCACTGATGACTTGTCTGTATTCAGCGAGATCGAAGTTGGACAGAGAGTGTTCATTCTGTCTTGATGTATTGTGCTTCATAAAAGCCTGTGGCACAAAATAAGAAATAAATCAGTGTTAAAGTTATAATCTATCCATCCATCCATTATCTTTCGCTTGCTACAGAGTCTGGTCTCTCTCGGGGGCAGCAGCTTGAGCAGGGAGGTTCTCTTCCCAGTCAGATATGCCTCCCTAGGGAAGCGACCAAGGGATATCCTTACCAGATACCTGAACCACTTCAACTGGCTCCTCTTGATGTGGAGGAGCAGCAGCTCTACTCTGAGTCTCTGAATATCTCATCCTACCTCTAAGAAAGAGCCCATCTATCCTGTTTGCAAACAGCAGTGGTGGCAGTCATTGTAAATCCAGGCATCGACCGATCTGGTATGGTGTCATTTGGACAGACTCGCAAGTTAATTTCTCCCTTTTAACCCGGGCTTGCACAAGAAATGCATACATTTGTGCTCCCTAGTGGCTGTTTTTTTCTGTTTTCCTATTTATGGTTGCTTATTTGCTTATTTGAAATGAACAGACTAAAATTTGGTAGTGGGATGGAGCTGTCATCATTTTATACAGTAGGAACACACTGACACAAGATATATTTATCTTCTTATTCAAACACCTCCAATATAAACTGTTACAGATGTTTTATGGAACCAGAGTAACAAATGCAACGTGCTTTTCTGTCACTTAGGTTTAATGACGTTTTTCTTACCAACATGTCTGATTCTTGTCTAAGTCTAATATTTTTTCCAGCAAAATCAAAACACTAGACCGCATGTGAGTAAACTGAAGGGTTAACTTCTAGAGTATTCATACAAAAAATGATAATTAGGTCTTTGATTGGTTATGAGTCTGGAAGTCAATCGTGAATTGAAAAAACAAAACCAAAAAAAAAAAAAACAGTGAGTTTATCTTTACGAGCTGTACTGCAGCCATCTGAGCCATTTTTGGGTTACAATTAAGACACTAAACCACCCAGAAAAATAAATCATTGCGTTTCCAATTATTGTCTACATTCAGCTTACAACTAACTTGGTTCCACTCAAATGTTTTAATAAATCAGCATTTTATCTCTAGGATCACAATAAACACTTGAAATCCAACATAAGATTCACTTATATGAAGAGCTCCATATGTAATTATAGCTTCTACATTTTGACTTCAGTTGGTAACCTTTTAATATTAGTAGTACATGATGAACTGACAACAACCAGTGATTTAACTTCAAGCTGCCCCTCAAAAAAGTGTAATGTTACAAAAATCAGACCCATTTCAATGAACTAAACAAAGGAATAAATTGCATTGATAAGTATTTGTGTGTACTAAGTACTATGTGTTGCGGTCACCTCGTCTCCACTGTATTGTTTCAGACAGTGCAAGAAGCGGCAGGTGTTGGCCAGCCAGAAAGAGACTGTCTCAAAGTCGTCGCCTCGTTTCTAAAAGGAGAAAAAAACATTGGTTTTTAATACACTGTGACTGAAACAACCTGTTGTATCCAACTGTAGTGTTTTTATGTGATCGTAGGCTGTATTCAGTGATGTACAGGTGACAATCCTGTACTCACTTCCCCAAAACGTACCTTCAGGATCTTTTTAATGCTGTTGATGGTAGATGTGAGCAGCGTGCGGACCTTCTGGTCATCGTTCAGATAGTCTGCGTGTCTCAAACACATAAACAGGATGTAGGCTGGAAGACCTGGAATCAGATTAACAGCTACGCCGCGAGGCTTCAGCTCTACAGATGCAGAAGAGAAAGAGTTTTTTTTTTTTTTTTTTTTTTTACTGAAACAGGTAAATATCATGTGAAAGCTTCATCCTACTTGCTGTTACTTCTTACCTAGGATGAGGTTCTTAACCAATTTCATTTCATCCTCCCTCTTGTACTCCAGCATTCCTTGGAAGTCCTTCTCCCTGCGGGGGATGTTCACAGGGTGGATGGACTCCTCCACCATCTGTCCTGGGGATGTTTGGCCCTCTGTTTGACCCGCTGACAAGAAATAGTTCATATAAGAGTCAGCTAAACATCTGCAACTCATTTATAGAGTCTCAAGCTTCAGCTCTCATACCTCCCATCTCTCCAATCCTCTTGGAAAACACCTTCAGCTGCTTCTTCAGCTTCCGAATGGTCCTGTCCTGCTTCTCCAGCTGCTCCATCAGATCCTAAAACAGACAAATGGATGACAAGATGAATAACAAGACAGAGGAAAGAAAAAATGAAAGGCCAAACTCTGTTTGACTCGGACTACTTGATAATGTTGCCCTCTAGTGGTAAACATTAGCAATCAAAGATTTTAAGTGCCAATAAATCCTTAATTTTTTTAATTAAGCTTTTAAAGTGTAATTTCTGGCAAAAATAAATAAATAAAATAGGATACAGCAATTTTTAATCAGAATTAGAGCAGTGGTGCAGATTTTCAAAGGAAGAAGGGCTGTAGGACTTGCTGTTAGAAAAGAGAGGAGTGTGCTGAGCTGCTTTGTCGTGCGTTAGAGCTAACGTGAGTTAAAATACACTCGGCATGATTTTATTCAGAGGACAAAAACTTTAGTTAGTTCTCACACACATGCAAACACACATACACACATCGCCTCTACATACAACCATCCGTCGTAAAATGATGACTCGAGCTTCTCGGGATGCTGCGGGGTCGCTGGTCATGAGTTCCTGTCAGGTGACACCATCCACACAATGTGAGCGTGTGTGACACACACATCAACACAAACCAACAACTCTCTGTGGCTAATATCGTAGGATTGAAGAGTTTTATGAAATGTGTGTCAATCACTTCTTCAAAAAGGCCCTGCGAAGATGCAGAAGTATTACCAAACACGAACTGGGTTTGAGTCAAAATGACCTGATAGAAATGTGTTGTTCTGTGTCCAGGCATCAGAATGTCTGGGCGCTCACCCAGGAAAAGTTTCTCAAGTGGGAACATACTGATAAGCCAAATAAGAACTTGGCAAAGTCAGTTTATGTGTGTGCGCTTGTACGTGAATAGAGTAATATAAATTAGGTCAGGAAACGTCTCATCAGGGGGTTTCGACATTTGGTTTTTGTGCTGTTCAGAGGTTCAGTGTTTTCTACAATAAACCCCAACTTTGATGTCAAATCAGAATCAAGGTTGTCAAATTATTTAATTAAAGCATCATGTAGTACTAATTACTACATTTGGCGCCCAACGTGGGGCTTGAACCCACGACCCTGAGATTAAGAGTCTCATGCTCTACCGACTGAGCTAGCTGGGCAAAAATAATATGAATTTGTAAACTTAGTAAATCCTGACAAAAGACTGAAACAGATTTGGCCCATTAAATGTCCATCGTCAAACTATTATCCAGCAATCCTGCAATCTTAACAATGACCTGGCCAAGCAAAGACCTTGAATAAGCTTTAACCTTGATTTGTGACCTTGACCCATCACCAGTTGGGGTGATGACAATTGCCCATGACACTCTATGAAGATAAAATAGTCTCAAAAGTGGTCACCCAAGTGTACAAGATTTGTATGTGTACAATAAAAGCCACAAGTGTACCACAGCATTTACAAACGTGCACAAAAAAAATTCATAAACGCAAAAAAAATGTTAATTTTGTTTGTTTTAACTGTACAGTTCCCAAAATTAATACTTTTGGAATCCAGTAACATTATTGTAAGCATGTTTGTTTTAATAAGAGAGTTATGAGCAACTGTGTCAAGTTAGAGATTAGTCTTTTCCCAAAAACTCAGTAGATCTGGTAAGGCTCAGATGTTCCAGCTTTTTACCAGCCTTGAACACAGCATTACCTTTGTGAATCTGGAGCAGCAAATAAGTCTCCACAGTCACATTCACAAGCAAGCTGATCTGTGCGCCCGTGTTGACTGATCCATCCATAGCAGGTGATTTGTGCATGTGTATTTCACTGTATAATCTCACAGAATAATCCTACTTGTACATTTTGAAATGTCATTCTAGTGATGATATATAGGTGTATGAAGTTTCATTAAATTATCTTGAGCAGATCAGAAGTTATAGGCGGGACAGACTATACTATAATATGTTCGCCTTTTGATGGGCGTATAGAAATGCCTATTTAGACTTTTTTTTTAAATTCCTTTTGTGATATCAACTTGTTTGAAAGTCTGACCAGGGGAATAAAGTTGAGCAGCAGCGAGCTACCTGTGCCTCCACTGATTTCTCCACCGGCTGCTGGTCTCAGCTGGGTTTCTACATTAATGACAAGGTCAAGCTACCTGGCATAGCCCAGGCTCCTTACCCATCTCAAGACCTAGTTGTTAGGCTTTGTCTCATATCCAAAACCAGGCTCCAAGGCCTGGAATCAATCAGGGATAGACTTTGGGCCTGCAGTTCTCCATCACTAGCCACCAGGTTAGTGCACTTGTTACTACTGCTGGAGCTGTTCATCAACAGCCCAAGGCTTGGATCAAACTGCACTGTTAACTTCATCAAAGTTGCTAGTTTTGAGTGTCTCAGTGGTGGATAAACTTCTAGGCTAACATGCCACTTTGCTCTGTCTTTAATGTGACACTATTTGTGCTTTTCTGCTTTATTATACCATGGTGTTGAGACTACAGACTGTTCACCCACAGATATGAACAAGTTCAGCAACATCTGCTCAAGGAAATGATTATTTTGGACATTCAGGATGGTGAAACCTTGTTTCATCTAAACTTGTCCGTTCACACTAAATTCATTGCTTTGGAGTTCTAAATATCCATGTCTCTTTAAATACATCTCATTTAAATAAAAAAAAAAACGTCTATGGAGACCAAGTGCTACAATATCAACTCCTGCAATTATGCTTCTACCACAAAGAAGACCCAGAAATGTTTGACTGATGCTTTTATTGTTATCCAGGATTCAGCAGTCTAATCCTGGCCCTCTCACCTCATGCAGCACTCCTACTACTTTACAAATATGTCATGACTACATATTTTACACATTAATGCTTGTAGCCTCCTTCTAAAAATAGATACGCTGCAGATATGAGTTTGTTCAACTGGTGCTGATATTACTGTTATTTCTGAGACTCTGTTAACTAAGTCTATACTTTACAAAGTTGTAACAATTGACTACTTTAATATTTATTGTTCAGATTATTCAAGAATGGTAGGTGGTGTGGCAATCTGTCAGATCTAGTCTTGCAACACAACTTGCTTGCTAAATCAGCTGCTAAAGAGTTTAAAACCTTAGAACTAAATATTAGTCTGTCTGGTGGTCAGTCTTTATTTGTTGTTTGTGGCTAGAGACCCCCTTCTGCCACATCTGACATCCTATCATACTTAATGCAGCTTTTATCTAATTGACACTAAGAAAATTGTTCCATTAGGTGATTTTAATTTAGATTGGCTCTCACCACTGTCTGACAAATTTAAAGCATAATGTTTGTTATTCAACCTTAGTCAGATTATTGATAGTCCCACTAGTCCTAATCCAAAATGCCTTTGCAAGTCATCTCTTCTAGACCTTTTCATTACAAACATGTCACATAAGCACACTGGATTAGGTGATTTTACAAATGATCTAAGTGATCATTGTGTAGTTGGTGCTGTTAGGCATACTAAAATGCCTCACTCAAAGCCTAGAGTAATCCAAAAACAAATCTTGAAGCATTTGAAGAATCAGATATTGTTAAACTGAACACCAGGAAACAACTTTTAACTGCCACTTTCTTACCAGATATTGATTATGGTGACATTGTTTACATAAATTCCCCTGCCTGCCCCTTGCAGATGTTGAATGTAGACTACTATGGCGCTATAGGGCTCATAAATGGCTGAAAGTACTGTATTCATCACTGCACCCTGTCAATTGGTCATCATTAACTTCATGCAGACTCTCACACTGGTAAATCTTCATCTCTAAATCACTCCTTGGTCTGCTGCCTTCATACATCTCCTACACGTCACGTTGTCAATGCAGTTACAGCGTGCACTCTCAGGCCTCCATTACCTGCAGCATTCCCTCAGTGCGGACTGAGCTTGGCAAAGACCTTTTCCTGCTCTGCTCCTGTAACCTGGAACACGTTGCACCAAGATCTGAAGCTATCCACTTTGATTTCTTTAAAGGATTTTAAACATTTGATAAGGCCACTGGAAAAATCCAAGCAAATATGTTCTTGTTTTTAGTATTTTACCTAGTTCAATCTGACTCTCTGATTTGCTTTTACTACACTGTGCCTTAATTGCTTTTATCGTTGTATATGATTTTGTCTGTCTAAAACAGGCCTCTCTTGAAAATGAGTCCTCGTGACTCAATGAGGCTACCTGTATAAAATCTTTCAACCTTTATTTATACAGGTTGGTCTCATTGAGTCACAAGGACTCATTTTCAAGAGAGACCTGTAAATAAACGTTAAATAAATAAAAAAAAATAAAAAAATTAAACATCTCTTTTTTAGTATCAAAGCTTGTTTGTAGGAATTTTGCCTCAAGTGTGTCTATTTCCATGTCTCTCTGTGCTGAGGGCTTGAAATGACTTCCTGAATCTCTCAACCTGCATGTATTTGTCTGTTTGAGAGTGTGTTGCAGTGTACCAGGTTCTCGTTGGTGAGCCGGGTGATCTCGTGCTGCAGACTGGCCTCGATCCGGGCCTCTGGAGGCAGCTGCAGGTTTTGGGCCAGTAGCTGCTGCTGCCGGTTGTTCTCCTCCTTAAGGTTCTGCAGCTCACCTCGCAACGACTCAACCTCATTCTCATATGTTCTCCTCTGAGTCTGAAGCTGGTGCTCCAGTAACCTGAGAGGAAGTAAGAAAAAGAACAGGAATTCTTCAGCTTCAGAACATTAAGAGCTAGAAACACACACAGATTCTCGTTGTGGAGGGAAGGTGAGATGTGGTTATCTCCAGAGTGTAGAGATGCAGGTCAGCAGTAGCAGAGACAGAATCCAGCCTCTCAGAGGAGTTTTCATTGATTCTAATGACACATTACACTCCACTCTTCTAAATAAGAGAAAACACCCGTCAGCGATCAGAAACAAGTTGTCGGAAGGCCAGTTCATTCAATAAATCCAAACATGCATGTTTTTTAAATATATTTTCAGTAAACCCACAACAGTAGCTGTTGTACTTCAAATTTAGGGATCCTTGAGGAGTTGTCACTATCGTGTCTGCAGTGCACAACATTAGTCTTTTCAAGGAAAGATGGCTCCATTGCACCACCAGAAGTTTCAAACTCCACAGGGAACCCTTATGTTTGTCTGAATTATTGTTTTGTGCCATTATAAAGGAAAAAGTTGCTAAAAAATACAAAGTTAGAAGACGGAAAGCAAAAGATCCGAGTCAAAAAGCATCTCCATTACAATGATCAGAATGGAGAACAGCATAAAAATTACTCAAACAACTGAAAAGAGGTTAGCTATATTACAGAAAACGAGAGCATTTAAAAAGCGGTCATTACAAACAAGGTTAGTAACAACAACATCACAAATAAAAAGAGAGCTCAAAACAAACAATACATAGAACACATTACTATATACATGTAAGTATAAAAACTCTGAAGAAGTACATAGGATATATAACCAGCAGAACATGTTCTCTGGTGTGAAAAGCCAAACACATCATGCTGTAAAATCACCATGTGTTTGAAACACGGTTACACCTGCTGGTCTCCTTTAAGCCCTGATTAACCAGCCACAGCTCCCCGTCCTCGTTCAGCTTGTGGAGGTCCGGAGCAGCAGATCTGACCGACATGAGGCACAAAGGGACGGGATGACAAAAAGAAATAAAGGAATGGTTGAGGGGTGGACACAGGTGCAGGAAGACATGAAAAACAACTTTTCTTTATGGGAAGTGTCTGCATGTGTGAAGAGAAAACTGTCCTACGGTATAATTATAAACTGGACAATTTATCAAATGAATGTCAGGAGTGAAAGATGTAAGTGTACAGTCGTGGACAAATGTTTTGAGAATGGCACAAATTTAGTTGGGTTTTTTCCCCACCAAGTTTTCAGCCTCAGTTCTTTTAGAACCTTTAGTCAGATGTTTATATGGTATGATGAAGTACAATTATAAGCATTCCATACTTATTTTTAAATTTTTATTGACAAATATATCCAGTTTAAGAAAAGACTTCTTCCTGGCCATGGACCCAAATTTCAATATTTAGTTCACCGAACCACTTTATCACTGTTGCCTTGTGACCTGCTGCTCCATCATGCTGTAAAAACTTTATTCATCTCCAAATTGCTGCTGGGTCATTGGGAGAAGTTGCTCTTGGAAGATGTTTTGATGCCATTATTTATTCATGACAGTGTTCTCAGACAGAATTTTGTGAGAACCCACTCCCCTGGATGAGAAGCAACTCCACACATGAACGGTCTCAGGATGCTTCACTTTATGACACAGGACTCATGCAAGTTCTCACCTTTTCTTCTCCAGACAATCATTTTTCTAGATGTCCCAAACTTTCTGAAGGGGCTTCATCATAGAAAATAACTTCACTCCAGTCCTCTGCAGTCCATTTCCTACACTTCCTGCAGAATGTCGGTCAGCCATTCATGCTTTCCTTGGAGAGAAGTGACTTCTCTGCCGTTCTTCTTGACACCAAGCCATCCTCCAAAAACCTTTGTCTCACTGCTCAGATGCTCTCACACCTGCCCTCTGACATTCCTGAGCAAGCTCAGCGCTGCTGCTGGTGACCCGATCTCATAGCTGCGTCCTCTTTAGGAGACGGTTCTGACACTTGGTTGACTTTCTTGGGTTCCCTGAAGCTTTCTTCACTCCACCTGACCCACTCTCCTTGAAGTTCTTGATGATTCGACAAATGGTTGATTGTGTTGCTACAAGCAACAATGTCCTGCAATTCATCTGATCACTCTTCTCAATGTAGAGTTGACACCTTAAAAACTGAGGCAGCAAACTTTGTGAAAACCAAAATGTGTGCCATTCTCAAAACTTTAGGCAATGACTGTACTGGTTATTGCAGTAGATTCAGTTATTTTACTTTTTTTCATAAAACTTGTCTGCTGTATGGTTTTCTTGCAAGGCTGACTCAATTCAGTTCATCCCCTTCATGTTGTAATTGATTACAGTGAAAAGCTGCTTTATGTATCTACCGTAATCAAAATGTTTGTGTAGTTGCTTGAAATTATCACTACTTGAGTATAAAACTGAGAAGTGAATGCATTTATTGAAAATTGTGCACCTTTCTCTGTCATGTTGAAACAAGTGAGATGAATCAAAATGACAACAAAAAAAGGCGGGGTGGGTTAGGGAATTTTATGGATTGCAAGTCCATAAAACTTTGATGCTTTAACAAAAAATTAACTAAAAAACAAAAGTGCTGGAGTTCATGCAGTATTAATGCCAGTCTCATTCCATGAAGCAGACAGGAGCTCTTTCACATCTGCATCTAAGCTACAACCAATGTGTTAGTAAAAACTAATAAACATTTCACCCGCTGGGATCAAACATTTCCATGCCTAATGCCACACAGTTGCTGCTGTACCAGCTGAACTGCAAATATGGAGAATGTGATAATTTCCTCAAAAAGTCCAGAGTCACTGAAAACTACCTGTGACTCTAATTTTGAAGAAAGAGGAACTCCTTGAAGTTATGTTAAACTTAAAGGCTCTTTCACACCTCAGTCCGGGATTTAGACGACTTCTGGCCATCTGGGTGGGGATTTCTGAATGAACTGGGGCAGCGAGGAGGGTCGAAGCCAACCCACCCAATGTACATTTTCTCCATAAAGTGAGGTAGTAGCAGAGCCGAAACAGTTGATGTGAATCTGTAAGCTGGTGTTGCGGCTCAGTAATTAAATATTTCAATTAGCCTTTATTTATCCAGGTTAGTCTCATTGAGCCACGAGAACTCATTTTCAAGAGAGACCTGTATATATATATAGAGACCTGTATATAATATATAGATTTATTACAGAGGTAAGATCGATGATGACGCACAGCAACTTTGCTTTAATTATAAAAACTTAGTTAACGACGAATAAAATCACTAAACTGAGTAAATTATTTTGAAAATCATACTAGGGAGATCTAAGTTCATGCTCAACAATCCAGGTAAAAAATCCAACAAAGTTCAGTTTTTACCTGGATTATTATGAACTTTGATGTTTTGAACCACTTTAGCTATGGCTCCTCAGAGGAGTCGACGTGGGAGAGTGCGGACTCCAGAAACCATCTTATCACATCAAACTGGTTGGCCCACTATGTGAGTGTGCTGCTTGTGGGACTGAGTTTGTTGTGGCTCCTCAGACTGATGAAGTCCTTTGGATGAAGCGTCTCAACAAAAAACAAAATTGTCCAGAGGACCTGACTGAACTTTGTTGGCTACCAGGGAGTCGTCCATCACACATTTAATGCGTTGTGCTTCACGTCAACACAGCTGAGTTCTGCTCCACTCCTCTATTGGTTCCATGATGAAAGCTTATTTTCTGAAGCTCACATTTGTGCAGGACATGTCCGAATCCATCAGTGATTTATGAACAGCCAGAGGAAGCATACAGACTGATCTGTTCAACCATTTTGTGGAACTGTTTTATGAAAGAGCCACAAACATTTCTACTGTTTCCCATGCTAATAAATGCAACTCATGCACACCTTGAAGTTGTTTTTGCAAAAGCCACATAATTATCTGTGGTTCAGTAAACCTAAACTGAAACGAGAGCCTTTGTATCGTTTCTCATGCTGTAGGGACAGAAAATGTCACTCAACAGTGTGAAATCAGCTGTTTTAGCCTTCGCTAACCGTTCCTGGTGAACAGCGTGACCATGCATGCTCTGAACCATGATGCATGGGCCACCTCTCATCAGTTACCTCAGCCGACTCACGAGACTGCCGACTTCCAGCGGTGGACGCGTGAACCTGGGAGAGCTGACAGGACACACGAGTGTACACACGTCTCTTACACAGCGATTAAACTTACAGCGAGACTAAAACATGTTAAATTAAACGTCTGATGGAACAGAGCCACTGAAGAGATGAAGACCAGAAGGGTGCTGGGAAACGGTGAAACGGCGTACCTGCTGGTGTCCTTGAGGCCGATGTAAGCTTGCTTTAACTCATCGGCATCTTTCAGTTTGTTCACATCTTTTGCAAACACAGACGGCTCCGTCATGGTCTCCTAGAGGTGAGGTGACAAAAAGACAAGGCCATATGAGCGGAAGCCACTAAACAGATTTATGAAAAACAATATTAACAACAATAAAAGTAACCAAACGGCACGTGGAGCTAAAATATTTGAGTTATAGGAACAGCAAACACTCATTAATTATTTGATAATGCTATTCTGAAACCACACACAGTCATAAACATTTACTTCATGGTGTGAAACAACTCATACAGAGAATTCATCCGTAGTCACAATATATGTCGGCTGTTTTTATAAGTGCAGAAGAAGAAAAGCTGCTACTAAAATGATTGAGCTGAACATTCAGTGATAAAACAACAGATCAGAAACACAGCAATAAACAAAAAGGACGAGATAATTAAATAAATCTCACTGAGGACTGAATGTAGTTTCTCTGGTGGTTCCTTTTGTCATAAATCAAGGTTTGATCTGAAAGTGTTCCCCGTTGTCACTTTTGAAGTAAATTCCACTTTTTATTGCTCCCACACTCTTTCAAATCACTGATCTATTTCTCTTTGTTTGCTCTGTTCATATCGATATTAAAAATAAATTATGTTTGTCGTTTCCCAGAGAACATTATTAGTTTATATCTTAGATGTTATCATTGTTTTTCTTTTACATTTTATTGTTGGATGTAACTGGGACCCTGTGTATTGTCGTTCGAACGACAATAAAGAATCTCTGACTCTCTGATTATGCGGAAATTAGGAAGAAAACAGATGAAAATGGCAAAAAATCATGGTTTTACATTTAGCATTTTTAAACTGCAGCATGTTCTTTTTACAGCATAAAAAAAAATCACGTTTTACTAAAACATTAATTGATGGTAAAACATTTTAGTTTAGTTGAATTAGAAGTTAGTGTCAGTATCAGACATGAAGCAGTTTTAATTGTTAAAGGGGATTAAATAATTAAAACAAATCCAGTAGATCTTGTGTTTTTCTACTGGTGGTTTTTCTACTGGTGTTTAATGCAATGCCAGTCTTAAGTTTAGATGTTTTTGGTTTTAAACGTGTCACACATGACAAGCAAAACATATGCATGGATGATGCAATTGTTTAACTGTACCTTCTCATCCTGTGGAAAAGCATGGATGGAGGAGAGAAGGTGGAGACAGGAGAGTTAGACACAACCCTCAGACAGTGACATCATTAGCAACACACACTTAATGATCAGCTGTGTGATTTTAGTTCAGGCAACCAACAAATCAGGTCTTGCTCACTGTTTTAAGAAACATAATGGAGGATGCACAGGTAACTTTTTTCATTTTATAAACTGGGGAGCTAAAAAAAAAATGGAAAAAATTATGAACATGAAACAACACATAAATGTAAGAAGTGGATGAAAGCGAGCAGAGTATCATCCACCTACATTTAGCTTCACAAACAAAGGAATCGTGTTATTTACAAAAGATGCCGGTAGTTTTTTTCTGTTGGAACCAGGGCTTAATTTGAGCTGGATCCTGCCGGAACAGAATTCGGGAACTCTTATTTTGATAGGGTGCATTCTGGCAACTATTTGCTTGGATCCGGTAACTCTCAGGCTTATTAATAATAAAGTAAATATGACCGCCTTGAATGAATAAAACTTGTATTGTTTTGTAAACTGAAAATAATTACATAAACACTGATTTTAAACATAACAGCCACTTGCAAGCTTCTTAATAGCAAATATAAGCTGCCTCTTCAAGTAAGTATTTCCACTTCTACCCTTAAAACAATCTCTGCCCCTACATGAGTGGTGGGGGTGAGTGCAGAGCTAACAGTCATGCGCAGGCTGGAATCCACAGGCAGCCACCAAGAACAGACGGAGGAGGTGCCTGGAGGTTTCACATGTGGAGTCGGACAGTGAATTCAGTGGAGAAGAGTCAGCTCGGAACAGTCAAGTGAGGGGAGGGGGGTAGGATGCTTGACAGAAGCAGAGTGTTTGCAAATGTAGGTAAACGAAGCTGTTTAACAACCCATACACCAAATACACCAAAATGCAGGAAACCGCATCTACTTTATTCATAATTTTCTCCCCCTGCACCCAACCAGCCCACCTGCTATTTGTGTTCTGGCATCGATCAGTTCATAAATTAAGCCCTGGTTTGAACAGTGAGGAGATAAATAAATAGTATGTATGGTTTACCTTGTGATGCATCGCTTCCTTCTGGCTGACCAGCTGAGAACGCAGGATCAGCACCTCCTCCTTGCGGACCTCCAGTTCCTCACAGGAAGCGTTCAGCTGATCCAGAAGCACCTTGTAAGCTGGCGAGCCCGGGGCCCCGGCACTTGTAGCAGTGTCGCCGAGCAAACTTCGCCTCATCTCTGTCAGGTCGTGTCTCAGCTTCTTGTTCTCCGACTCGAGCTCCTGACGCTAAGAGGGTTCACAGTCCAGGAGTTAGGTACTGATAAATCTTACGATCTGATTAATGGATCCATGTGAGTCAGCGGAGGAGCAGCTGCTAGATTTGACTTACCTTCAGGGACTCGTACTCCAGCTCAGCTCCACGAGCCTTCCTGAACTCTGCATCATCCTGGAATATGACGGAAAATGCAGCAATGAAGAGGTATGCTAGCCTGAGACACGATCTGATTCATGCAACACTTTGCTGAGACAAATAGACACAGCAAAGCATTTTGAATTCAACTGCAACTAGGCCTGTAACGATAACAAATTTTGCTGAGCAATTAATTGTCTCAGAAATTATTGCAATAAACGATAATATTGTTTGAAATTTGACAATAATTAGTAATTATTGTCAAATTTAAGAAGAAATGTCGGTTAATTTATTTTGTGTGTAGTACCTTTTTTGACCACCAGATGGCAGTAAAAGATTTTGGACAGAAGGATGAATAGTAAGGAGGCGAGCAGCGTGTCTCTTTAAGAAAAATGGGAGGGAGGCCCCTTGGCGTGACATGGGCCGTCTCTTCTCCATTGTTTTCAGTTCTCAAAATGGAGGACGCTCGGTGTGGTTTGAGCCGTTTAGCATAGCATTTTTCACACAAAGCTTTAATAAAAAAAATCTGTAAACAAGTTCTCAGCTTCTTTTTGCAGAGAAAAACAACTTGTTTTCATGAAGGTACAGGTTTTAACCGTGAATTTTGGAGCTTCGACAAGACAGACATTTTTCCCCAAGGTCGGCCTGTTAGCTTAACTCGTAGCTTAGCTTCTCAGCTTGGCTGCTTTTAGCGAAGAGAGAAGAAAAGAAGAGAAGAAACGATAAAGCCGATAAATGAAAATGAGGTAGATGATTTTCATTTATTATGTGATTAATTGATTTATTGTTTATTGCGTCAGGCCTAACTGCAACTGTACTGTCTTATAAGAAACTAATAAGAGTTAATCAGGTACTTTTATACTCCTTATTCTAAGTTTTAGTATAATTTATTGATGAGGAGTTATATTTCAATGAGAGCAGATGAACTGGGTGGTGGTACCCTGGCTCTAGCCCGCTGGAACTGGTCCTCTTTGTTCTCCAGCTCGTCCCGCAGCAGCTGCTTCTCTTGCTCCAGCTCTGTAACACGTTTCTGCAGCTTGAGGGTCAGCGAAGTGTCCATCCCTCGCGTCACGTCCTGTTTGATAAAAGAAATGACAGAACAGAGCTTTAAAAACAAATGCTCCTATCCTACGCTTTGACGAAAAAAGGTAATAAAATTCTATACAATACTTTTCAGACATTTACTGCAGGCAGCAATTTGTTTTGGAAAATCAAGATCTAAGAACTTTATCCTTCCATGAGGCTGACAAGTTCTTTCTTATTGCCAGATATCTTACGTCTCTGGTGCGGGAACCTTCTTCCGATTCGGTGTACTCCGAGTTGAATGTGTACTCGGACTCGTTGCTGCTGTGGGTGGAATCTGTTCTCCTGTGGCCAGGCTTGGAGACGTTCTGCAGACACGAGCGTATAGGCCTTGGATTAAAAACAAAAACAATGGACTCCTACACTTCTTAGATCAACTTATATAATCATAACTGTTGTATTAACCAGTACAGTGCCATTAAAACTTGTCATATTGTTGTTCCATAGCTTATACGAATTGTAAAATAAAATTCACATTATATGTATTCCTAGTCTGTTTACAAATCCAGGAGCAGATTTTTTTGATTTGGTCCAGATTTCTCACCGAGGAGTAAGCCTCCTTCAGGTCGTCGTACTTCTCCTCCAGCCGAAGATGTTCTGTGAGCAGATTCTGATAACGAGAGCGCTCCTCATTCAGATCTGTCTCCAGCCGGCGAGTCTCCTCTGCTATCACTCGAGTCATTTTCTCTGACGGGGAAAAATAACAAAAGTTGTTTTGGCATGACTGAGTGACAAGTCTTCAGGATAGCATTTATTTAATGTAGGAGGTGAAACATACCCGTCATCTGCTGACTCTGCTCCTGAATCAACCTGTTCAAGTCGTCCTTCTCTTTCTTCAGCAAACCGTTCTGGTCCTTCAGCTCGGACACCATCTATACATAGATTTAAATAATTATTTCATTACACTTTTTTTTAAAGCTGGTGTTGGTCACAATCTCAAAGAAAAACTAAATGCATCCGATGTGTGTAAAAATCTACAGCATCCATTACAGTAGACCCTCGCCACTCAGGCTGCTGTTTAAGATACCGTATTATTTTAATTTATTGGTATTTAGCATATATCTTAGAGTATATCTTAGATCATTACATACACTTTCTTTTTATATTTTAGCTATTTCTGGATGTAACTGAGACCTTGAGTACACAATTTCATTCCACCACTTGTATCACATGTGATGCGAATGACAACAAAGAACCTTGAACCTACTCTTCGCGATTCGACTTTCGCAAATTTTCAACGATTGTCAACTTTAATATTATTCACATGATTGGGACGATACGAGATAAAAAATTAACAAATAACTAATAATACTTCAGACAGGCGCTGCCATTATGTCATTTTCTTTCAATAAGCCTATACTGTAAGGCCAGTCAAAAGAACTACACTACCCAGAAGCCAACAGTGCTTCCGGCCACTGCTTTCTGCCGAAGTGGAGGGAAAGTTTTGATCCGATCCAAACCAGACTAAAAAGTTCGGTCCTTATTCATAGTGACTTCAGCTCAGCGGATGCAGAGAGCCGTACAGAACCAACTGGGAATTGGACCAGAACTACTTCCAGCCTTATCGGTCAATCCGGGTACTGCTTGCCGGCGCAGGAAGCCTCTCAAAAGCAACTTGGTGCTCAACGGCTGCAGAGAGCAGTTCAGAATTGAACCAGAACCGGACCAAGGCCCATATAAAACTTTGCAGTACTGTGCAGTAGAGTATGTTGTTAAAATTACATAGGTTTACAAGCTTAGAACATTGCAAGAGTGTGAGAAGGGTTTATAAAGCCTTAAAATATATAAATACTAAAATACATACATAGAACATTCCTACTTTGTGTTTTTTCACCTATCGCCGGGTGTCTGGAACGTAACCCCCGCAATAATTGAGGGACTACTGTACATTTATCAGTCACTTCATTCAGCGAAGTCACTGATGTTCAGTCTGAGGAAGTTTCTGGATTTTTCTAGAGGAGAATATATTAAGCAGGAAACTAGAAACCTTTTGTTTTGACAAACTGCCTTCTCTGAGGGGTTACCTAATCTTGGGAGGCCTCACTACTCAACCCGAGTCTGCAGAGATCTATAGTAGAAAACAGAAATAAACTACACCAAACTACAAACGTCTAACGCAGCGTCTACCTCAGTAACTCACCACCATTCTATGCTCACCTGCCCCAGGACAACACTGCCACCTGAGTCCACCTTGAGCTCTTTTCTCTCTCTTACCTAGATTAGTGAACTTTTTTTTTTTCTAAATCCAGTAAGAGTCAGGAAAACTAAGAAACTAAGGGAGATTACCACTTGGTGTTTGATGTTTTGATTCACTGTTTTTGTTGTTTTTACAGATGACATCACAAAAAAGAAGCTGCTTGATAAAATTCTGCAGTGAAAATTAAGTTTTCATGAAATTCAACACAAAACTAATTTATCGAAGAAATGCTTCAACAAACTTGTCAGGAAAATAAACGTTGCTATTCATCAAGAAACAAGACCAAAAATTAAAAAAAAGACAAAGACCAAACAAAGACTCACTGACTGAAAATCTGAAGATCAAAAAAAAAAGAAAAGGTTGTGCCTTACTTTTTCCATTTCGCTTCTGTACGTTTGTGCCCACTCCTCGATGGTCTTCTTCTCCTGCTGGGTGACACTCAGCTCCTTCCTCAGTTTCTCCAGCTCCTCCAGCAAGGACGACACCTGGTTGGCTTTATTTCGAGCGTCTTCCTCTGCCCCGCGCAGCCGGCTCAGCTCGCTGCGCATTTTCTCACCCTCCACAGCGTAAGAACTCTCCAGACCGACGAGCTTCTCGCTGACCAACCGGTTCTCTTTGTGCTATGAGGACATTGTAAACATTAAAGAACCTCCTCAAAAAAAGTTTTCTATTTACCACATTTGACAAAAACACTGAAGTTTAGTATGTTACCTGCTCATCAATCTTCCTCTGCAGCTGCATGATCTTGTTCTCCATTCCTTTGTTGAGCTTCTTGAAGTGCTCAACTGAGCGAGCCTCGATCTTCAGCTTCTTCAGCTCCCTCTTAGCTCTCATCCTGCGGATGCAGCACTGCAGGTAAACGATGGCCTCAAGGCAGCGCTTGTACCAGCACCGGGCCAACCAGCCACGGATGTGCTTCTGAATGATGACAGCCTTGTGCTCCCGCAGTAGCTGCAGCCACAACCAGACATAGAAAGTGACAGGAGGAGATGTTAGAGCAAAAAAAAATGTTGAGGATTTTAAGAGTAAACGTTTCAGGTCTTACCGCCTGGTATTGCTGCCGAGCCATGTAAGCTCTGAGAATTGTCTGCATGACCAATGCAGCGGCCTGCTTTTGCCTGTAGCGTTTCTTCTCCACACACATCCTCTGGTACTTCTGGATGATGGTGGCTGCCTGAGTGCGGCGCATGAACTTAGCCAGGCTGCAGAGACGCAAAACTCAGATTGATTTTTTTTACAAATACAGTCGTCCCTCGCTACTTTGCGGTTTGACTTTTGAGGACTCACTCTTTCATGGTTTTTCAAAGTAAGATTGAACACGAGAAAAAAATAATTGTACAGGACACATGATTGGGACAGTACGGGATACTGTACAGTAAAACGTTAACGAAAATAAAATACTTCAGATAGGCGCCACCATTTTGTAGTTTTCGCTCAATAAACCTATGCTGTATCCCTGCACATAAAGACTACATTTCCCAGAAGCCCCATTGCCTTCAGCTGAAATACTAGAGGAAAAGTTTTGATCTGACTGGAAAAAGTTTGGCACTTATTACAGTGACTTTGGTGCATAGCAGATGCAGAGAGCCACACGGAACCCACCGAACCGGAGCAGAACCAGACCTCCAAATCCATCGGTGAATCTGAGAGTTGGTAGCTGGTGCAAGAGGACCTCCGAGTGGGGACGCGCTAGTAAGTAAAATTTAGTAGCTACATATAAGTATGTTGTTAAAATTAGTAGTTTTAAGAGTTTAGAACATCGATTGTGGGTTTCATCGCAGCAGGTTAGATCTGCAGAAATGAACAGAGCCGCTGCTGCTCTGCAGAGCTGGTGAGTAAAATTTAGTAGCTACATATACAGTACTGTACATATGTTGTTAAAATGACATAGGTTTAAATTTAGAACATTGCCAGAGTGTGGGAAGTGTTTCTAAAGCCTTTAATTATATACAAATACTAAAATAAATAAAAATAAATATAACGTCACTTCTTCACAGATTTTCACTTATTGCAGGGGGCATCTGGAACGTAACCTCCACGATAATTATAAGAGATTCAGTGCCATTATTGGCCACTCACCAGCGGGCCTGGTAGCCTCTGGTAAACCTCTGGATGGTGATGGCGGCGCTGCGTTTGCGCAGATACTTCTTGCGAGCGAGCCAGCAGCGGATGGTTTTCTGGATGCGAATACACGCAGCGCGCAGCTTGTCTGCCCTCAGCTTCTCCAGGTAAGCCACCTGGCCAGCCCTGAAGAAGATTTTGCTCTTACCGAACTGATATTTGTCATGGTCCTGGGGAGCAAATACAGGCAAAAAGTTAGGCTAAAACAAACGTGCTTTCAAACAAAACAGCCGGCATCATCATTGGAAACAATAAATTTAACATTCATGAGGAAAAGCAAGTATAAAATCATTCTGACTTCCACTAATCTCTCCAAAACGTGCTTGCAGGTCAGCTTCTTGTCGGGGAGCACGTCTTTCTGCTTCATCAGCACTCTGTAACGGCTGAAGAACTCCTGGTACGTCCATCTGACATGTGCACACACAAACAAACACACTTTGTTTGAGAATGCTGTCATATCTGTTGTGATTGAAAACTAGTAAGATTTACTAAAAATGATCTAAGCATTCAAAACAATAAGAAAAAAATATCTAAAGAATTCAACTGATGTAAGTCATGCTGAAATTTCTTCTAGCTTTTTCTATCAATAAAAGAACAAACTATGAAGTTAAGATCTAAAGCTTGAATGAGCACCACAATAAAATATTTAAATGTACAGTAAACTAAAATGTTTGAGTTACACTAACTGCTGTAGGAGTGTATTTTAAGAACACAGAATACAACAGACATTTAATACGCAGATTCACTAACAGGTTGCAAGTTCTTTGTTAGCACAATTTCAGAACTTGTGCATTGGTCTAATTCACTACACCCTCACAAAGTGAGTGTCAAGTCTCTGACTTGGCTCTCAACCACACAGAAACTCTTTAAACTGGTACAGTTTACTCATTTGCATTTAGAGGAAATGCTTCCCATGTTCATGTAAAACACTGCAAATGCAGGAAACGTCTTATTCTCAACAACCAGCGCTGTTTACAACACACACTTAAAGTGCATTAAATATTTAGTCTCCCGAGTTTACAAGACAGTGGTGAGACCAGCTCTGTTGTATGGTCTGGAGACAGTGACATGGACAAAAAGACAGGAGAAAGAACTGGAAGTGGCAGAAATGAAGATGTTGATGTTCTCCTTAGGAATAACAAGGCTGGATAAGATTAGGAATGAGATCATCAGAGGTACAGCACAGGTTGAACTGGGAGATAAAGTTAGAGAGGCCAGACTGAGATGGTTTGGACATATCCAGAGGAGGGACAGTGGGTATATTGGTAGAAGGATGTTAGAAATGCAGCTGCCAGGAAAAAGACAAAGAGGAGATATATGGATGCAGTTAGAGAGGACATGGAGGTAGTTGGAGTGAGGACAGAGGATGCAGAGGACAGAGATGGTGGAGGATGACTCGCTGTGGAGACCCCTAAAGAGGGAAAAGCTGAAAGAAGAAAAAAGAAAGGAGAAAAAAGAAAAGGAAGAAAGAAGAAAGAAGTGGCAACAGAAACAGGAAGAAGAGGAGAAGAACAAGAAGAGGCATTTGTGTTTTTAAGGAGGAAAATGAGGAAGTTTAACGACCTGATGCCTTTACAAAAAAGTGCAAGTCATGAAATAGAGGAGTGTGCAGCACCTACCCTGTAGTCCATGATTATTTTTATTAGGTCAAAGTAAATGTAGTAATGATCAGTGGTGCAAGAAATGCAAATAACTGATTTAGAAGGACATTCCTGAACATGGCTGCTCTCTGATACAGTCCCGAGGTTGTTCAGGTAACTTTAAGGAGCGTCTCTGTGCTTCATCTGTTAAAATGGAGGTAATGAAGACATGAGCAGCATCTATACTACGGTCTCTGGGCTCCATCAGTAGCTTACCTGGATGGGAAGCCTGCGGCAGAGATGCGGATGGTTTCCAGAACACCACAAGCTCGAAGCTGTTGGACTGCTCGCTTGGGATCAAACCTGCCAACAAACCCAGAAGCATAATTAATATGTCTGCTCCAAATCACAGGAACAAAAAGGACGCCCTGTCACAGGTCTGCAACCAGTAAGATTAACATTTTGTTACAAAAAAGTTAATTTTTACAGAGGCTAAATTGTAACCTGACATAATAGGGAAAAAAATCTGATCAAGCAGACAAAAATTAATTAGGTTTATTTCAGATTACACTTCAGCAAAACAAACCAACAAACAGAAATGGGAAACTCACGAGAAGGCCAGCTTGAAGTCGTTGGGTTTAATGCAGCGCACGTAGTGAGGAGTGGTCGCATTCAGAGTCTCCATCAGCATTTGTAAAGAGTTACGAAACTACAAGAAAGGAAAAGAAACATGCAACAATCCTGACTTTTAAACTGTTAAACAGTGCATTCCTAATCTTTAAAATGAAAAAGAAAACTGTGACTTGCTGGTTTAGACTTTAAAAGATTTGACTGAATCATGGCCTCTTGTCTCAAACCAATTTTCTGCTGGAAGCTGAGATATCCACCTGACAGCCGACGGTCTTCTTGTGCTCCTTGCTGCTTGTGTCTCGGTTCTTGTCAGGTTTGATGCTGAGCCGGGTTCGACCTCCGGTGCCGGGAACCTGACCTGTGGGACTGGTCGCCTTCTCCTCGTCTTGAAACAGCTCCATCAGCAGGTTGAACTGGGAACAACAATAAACTCAGTTAAACAAAGCAGCTGATAAATGCTAGAGGCCAGTGGTAATTTTTCTCTTTTCCACTGTGAAAATCTTATTTAAATTTAATGATGGTCTCTTTTTAAAGCCACACTGTTTGGCCTTTTTTATCAGTTCGTACAGCAGCAGCATATGAAACTGGTCAAGGCCACCAGCCTGCATATTTTATTTGTTTCTCTGCTCCAGCACAGCAAATTCAACTGTTAAACTAGAGAAATTGCATTTCCTGTGAAAATGCAGTGTGAATGCTTATCGCTGAAGAACTTGCTGAAAAACAGCTGAAATTAGCTCAAAAACATTCTGAATTGTAGCTGAAATGGAAGAACAAGAAAGACTAAGTTAGCAGAATAAAGAAGAAAGAACACATTAACTGAATTAGGTTTAAATAAGCAGAAATGAGCAAAAAAACAAATAAAAAAATTTGGAAATTAGCTAAAAAAAAGCTGAAAAGGCAAAAAGCTTAAACTACCAGAAGGAAGCAGAAAGAACTGAAATGAGTTTGAAAAATGTGGAATAAACAGAAAAAGCTGAAACTAGCAGAAAAAAACTGAAAGAAGCATAACAAGCTGAAATTAATATAAAGAAGTTAATTAGGCTGAAAGTTGTAGAAATTAACATGAAAACTTGAATTTATCTGAAAAAAGCTGAAATTATCTAAAAATGCTAAAAAGCTAGATGAAAAGTTAGAAGAAGCTTAAATTGGAAGAAGAAAGCAGAAAGAAAATGTTTGCCCAATTATGCTGAACAAAGCAGAAATGAGAACAAAGAAGTGGAAATTATCTGAATGAAGCTGAAATTAACAAAAAAAACAAAAACACAGCTGAAAAGAAGCTAAAAAAATCATAAAGAAGCCTAAATTACCAGAAGGAAGTGGAGAACACATTTTTGCTGAATTAGGTAGAAAAAAAGTTGAAATGAGTGTAAAAAATGTGGAATTGGCCAAAAAAAATAGCTAAATTTTGCCTAAAAGCAGCTAAATAGTAGCTGAAATAGCAGAAAAAGATGAAACTTGCATAAATAAGCTGAAATGAGTATAAGAAGCTGAAATTAATAGAACGAATCTGAAAGTAGCACAATACAGCTGAAAAAACAACTGAAATTAGCTGAAAGTAGCTGGAAAAGAAAGTGTAAATTTGCACAAGGAAGCTGAAGGAAGCTGAACAAAATGTGAAAGGAGCAGTAAAAGGTTGTAAACGCATCTAAAGATTTGAAGGATGTAAAATGAGCTCAATTAATTTTCTATGAGAAAAAAAAAGTGGCAGAAAAGGCTAAATATTTCAAAAAGCTAAAGTTGCACCAATACCAAAAGTCATAGCAGCCTTCTCCTGAACGAGCTGAATGTTTTGATATAAGATTTGTTGAAATAGCAAAAAAAAATAAAATTGTGGAACGAGAAAGATGCTGAAAAACGTACGGAAGAAAAATGGATCATAATAGTGTGAATGCTTCATAAACATTCACACTATTAACTTTTTATCACGTCTACAAGTTCTGCAGAAACCCTTTAATCTCCCACTCTTTCTAATAATAATAATAATAATAATGTCATCACAATGTCATCACTGTATGTTTCCATACAATGGCCAAATTAGTCTCTGCATTTAACCCATCCACCACCAGGTGATGCAGTGGGCAGCTATTGAAAGCGCCTGGGGGGCATTTTGGGGATGAGAGTGCTGCCCAGAGACGCCACGTGATGTGCAGTGACTGGGGATCGAACCTGGGACTTTCGGGTCCCAAGCCGGCTGCCCTGCCTCTACACCATCTCGGCCCCCTGACGTGTGTTCAAGCAGAGAAACATCTAAAATGTGCAAGATGGCACCCCCCCTCCCCCAAACATGGCTGCAGTACAGGCTTACAAAGCAGAATGACAGCAGTGAAGATGCCAACTTAAAATCACAATATCTTTAATCGATTCGGACATGATGGGTTAATCAACATATTCACACGACTGCTTCAACGAGTGAGTAGATGTCACTTGATTATTTTTTTAGTTTTTAAAGAAACTTACTGACAGTCAAGATATAAAGGATGAAAAACAACAAACATAATGAAAAGGTTACAGTGTTTGACAAACAGTGTTCATATGACCATTCTTAATGAGGTTAAACAAAACGAGTCCTGTTCCATTTAATGACGGAGCTGCGTCGTCCTTTAAAGCAGCGCCATGCTGCTGCTCCAACCTGCATTGTAAAGCAGGACGTCGCAGTTTAAAAAAAAAATAAAATAAAAGGGTGCTGCTTGCTCTGAATTACTGCAAGATAAAAATAACCCCTCCCTCCTTCCTTCCCTTACTGTCCTCCTACAGTGTCAGTGACGCCACGCATGCAACAAACACAAGAACACACAACTCCTCGTTAGTGTAAAAGCTCAGTGCCACAGAAAGAGAAACAAGGAAAAGAGCCGAGAGCTAAAAAGGCGGACCAGCGTTCTGTTTACCTTCTGTTGGTGGGGAAGGTTGTCATGATGGAGACAAAACACATGGAAGACAGCGACAAACACAATGGCATTAAAATGAAAGGTTCAAAGAAATAAAAGTTAAAAATCACGGATCACTCCCATCCATAAAAAAGGATCTAAAAAAAAAAAGAATCAAATTTATAGAAAACCAGACTAAAATACTGAGTGGATGAAGGGGAGAGGTGATTTATCGTTTCACAATTTACAAGGATTTCAACCAACTGGATAAAATGTTCCCACATTTGCCTAAATTCAAACAAAACAAAGAACTGAAAGAACATGGGAAATCGGGCGTTTCTTTCAAGTGACTCATTGATTGAGCTTACAAGCAGACAAGAGAAACGTAAACTGCGTTTCTTGCAGGTCTCGATATAGTTTCGAGCAGCGTAATACCAATGCTCAGTGAAATATCAAACTGTATGCAGACGATCAGGGAGACGAGTGCAAACTAGTAATTTAAATCAATTATTCTGTCACAGCTCCTGGTTAAACTTTAATAAACTGCAATTTACTGCAGCTGTGCATGGTGGACAGAACCTCTGCAAAGTGCAGACTCTCCTCATCTTAAAGTACTGCAGTGAGTCAAATCGTTTCAAAGGTGACAGAAATCACATGTACTGGATAAAGGAGAACCAGTGGAGACACGGACCAGCTCAGCCATGACCCGGGAAGGAAAAAGCGGATAAAGAAAATGGATTAATGGATGGATGGATATACTAAAAAACACATTAGAAACAAGCTCCTAAACATGCTGAGATGAGAAAGGAGCATTCATGGATTTTACGTTTTCCAATCTGAAAACCAAACGTTTTTTCTAGAAAAGCAGGACTGACTCCCTCACTTCTTACCCTGAATGGGCTCAGTCTTTTGATGATGTGTTGATGAGAACAGAGACTATAGGTTTATAAATTATTTTTGTAGATACTCTCTGACTTGTTGAATTTTTAGACGGGGTTGTCTGGTTATGGGCATACACTCAGAATAAAGCGGATTGAAATGAATTTTGTTCTTAAAGACAAAATGTAAATGTGAATTTTGGTGAAGCGGAGTTGAAACTGAGCATCAGCTCAATAGAAAACAAAAGGCAACCTCTGTGGGAGAACTAAAAAGAAAATTAAAAATACTAAATTTAATTAAGAATTCGTTATCTTTTGATCCCAAATGTTAAAATCTGAGTGTATTTTGTGTGTGTGAGTACATTAAGAGCAGCAAGGATCTGCATTTTAATCCCTACCTATTCTGCTGAGTCAGGACTAAACGCAGTTAAAGGCATTTTAAACAAACACACTTTGTTATATTCGATGTGTGTGTGTGTAACCCTAACCAGCAGTGAGGTTATAAAGACTTAAGCCTGTTGTGACCTAAAAAAGCGGAGCTACACACAGATAGTGAACAAGTACCAAAACACAAACTAGGATAAAATTAATGAAAATGTGATCAACTAATTTAGATCACATTTGAATCAAAATAATTCTGATAATTAATAAATGTGGAATTAAGCTGTTGAATATAAACAATTTGACCACTTTATGAACTCACTCTATATTTTTCTGCACTAATTCATGTTTTTTTTCTTGCTATTTATCACACATATCAAAGTGTCATATTAACGAGCCATGTCAGAGGTTCATCACGTCAGGGTATGCAGCAAAACTGCTGTAATAGTCCTACAGAACCTCACTGACCTACACAAGGCGAGGTCAGTGAACAAGGCCAGGCTGATTCTGGCAGATCCTGATCACCCACACCATGGGGAGTTCAGGTTGCTTCCATCTGGACGCAGGTATCTGCTGCCCAGATGTTGAACAAACAGACTGAAACACTCATTCGTCCCTGTAGGCTTCTCAACAAACAGTGATGACTTCTGTACAGTTATTTGAATTTTTTTTGTCTAGTATGGATGTTTTATGTGCCTACATGTGTGCCAGCTTTGGAATTCACTCCCACTTGATATTCACAACACAGACTCATTGCCACATTTCAAATCCAAACTCAAAATTCATCTGTTTAAAGTCGCCTGTGATTGCAACTGTACTGTCATTTAAATTCTATTTTGTACTTATATTTACTGTGTATATAATATTGTCTTTTATGCTTAACTATGTAAGGTGACCTTGAGTGCCAAGAGAGGTGCCTAAAAATAAAATGTATTATTATTATTATTGAGTGTGAAACTAATTTGCCTTTGGGGATAATAAAGATTCTTGAACTTTGTGACATGGATGGTTTCGCCTGTGTCATGGCCAGCAGAGGGCGCTACTTCCTTTATCCTCCAGGTTATAATTTCCTGTCAATTTAGGATCCAGTTTATACGTTTGGGGTTTTTGCAAAACAGCCTAAATAGCTGCCATGCTGGTGGAAACTTTAAGAAAAGATGCATTGATGCTTCCATAATTAGCTCTTTTTGTCTGAGAAATGTTGGACCGTCCTAGAAAGAGGAGATATTCTTCAGTATTTGCAGCTCAACCCTTTTAAAGCAAGGCACTGACAGATTTATAAGACAGAATTTACACAACTAAATAAGAGTAGAAGGCTGTGACTGTGAGCAGCCTGTGAAAACATAAGGCCTTTACTTTTCTGAATACAAATGTACAATAAAGTAATTTTTATAGTAATTATAAAAAAATAGGACACAATGTGATGGGTATGGATAAGACAAATGACCTAATGTGATTTTAGATTAAAAATACATTTTAACATCCTACTAAAAACTGATGAAACAGATCAGTCTGTGACTGGATACTTGTTCCAGTTTTGTCCAAGCCTTTACAAACTTCTCTAACCGCCTTTTCACGTCACCTGAACATTTTCAAATGAGCTCCAAGAAAATATTAGGAAGATAAAATGAATATTTTGGACTATTTGAGCTGTAAGAGAGCTGAAGACTTCCTGACTTCTTTTGATATATTTTCTAAAGGCTCACAGGACGCTGCTTCTGGTTGTTATGGCTGATTGCAACGGTCACCGTGCAGATGTTTTGTGTCTCACCTTGCTGGCTTTCAGCACATTGATTTGCTCTTCGTTTACCGTGTCCTTGTTCTTCTCCAGGAAACCCTCACACTGGTACTCGACCTGTTCAACAAGAACGATCAGCTTAGGACACAGCCGAAAGGACACTTTGATTAAATATTTACATTTTTAATTGTTAATATAACTTTAAAAAATACAATGCTTATGTTCCCTGCATTTAAATACTAAAGTCAACAAATACAGCAAAATCAATAAAAGCAAATGCTTTAATAAACAAGTTTTAAAAGGCAACCACTTCTGTTTTAGTTGTTGACCTGTTTAACTTTTAACAGCATGGAGACAAAAAGAAACCTCCTGCGGGCCCACCTTGTCTGCAAAATGTTGTATGATGAAGGCGCGGTTGGACATGCGCGGCTTCTCAAAGAGAGAACAAGTCTTTAGGTGGGTGTTGTACAATTTCTGAGCCCATGAATCATCTGAACCTTTTGGCATCTGTTATCAAACATCAACGATCAGAAAAATGAGAAGAAAAATGTAAAGCCTTCCATCATAAATACATCTGTTATGTTTTACAAATAATAAAGTAAAATCATGTCATGTCTTTGTCAAAGTATCCGCAATGCAGTCCACCTCGAGTGTCAACAGTCCATAAAACGGTCTTGTTTGATCCACAGAGATAAGATGCTGGCTGAGCTTAGAAAGTCTGTGAAGTTAGTTTCTGCTGCGTATTGAAAATGTTACAAATTTAAGCCCTTGGTACTTCGACTGACCTTGGTTCTGACAAAAACTAAGCTCGTTAAGCTCGGAAGTTACGACGATGGACATTTCATTCACTGTAACAATATGTGTAGGTGGCAGAAACTACGAAAGTCAGTGAGAAGCTGAATAGCTGTGAAGCAGAATGTGGGTGTGAAGCCCAGAAGCCCCCGTTCAATATGCAGCCGAGACCAACTTCACTTTATATGCTTGTTTACATAAAGTTTTTATTCCGCCTACAGTTTTCATGTTTTTAGGTTTTACATATTTCAGCTGGTGCAGTAGTATAGATTAGTTTTTATGTTTTTTAACAGCATTTACCCAAGAATAGTCAGTATCTTACCTACTTCAGACAGCAGTCAGAATGATCTGTTTGGAGAACTGGGAAGAAATTCCCATGAGAGTCATGAATAAACAGGGAAAGGTTCGTTCCAGAGCAAATTTAAACTCAAACTGAAGGGAACCTTATATTAAAAGTTTTAGAATTAGTCTACCAAGAGACATTTACTGACTTTCCCCATTTTTTCTACTGAACAACGTGTGTAGCACAACCATATCCAGCTGATTACTACAGTTGCATTGACATTAGACTGTGAGAGCAACAGCCAGCTGATCAGCAGAAATATTCATCAAATAGCCACTATGCATAGCAACACAGATGTTGTTTGGTTAAAAAGTAACAAAGTAAATGTGGAAAAGTGACAAATTGTGAAACTGAGGATTTTTTTTTTGTTTTGGTTGAAACTTGCTCTTGAACGGCCCCTGACTGTAGAACCCCTCTGATTATCCAAACTACATATTCTGACTTCTAATAAATAAAGTACTGACTGGTCATATATAATCAACGCAATTCAACCTCCCCAAAGTATCCATTTAATAGACATTTTCCTAAATAAATATACAGCACCCTGCACTCCTCATCCAGCAGATCCAGGACGCCCATCTTGGCCTCGATGAGGTTGATGCAGGGCTGATTGTCATAAAAATCAATCAGAGTCCAGGGGATCTGCTCCTTCATGTACTCCTCCTGCTCCAGCTTGAACACATGCTGTGCACAGACACACACACACACACAAGATGAGGACTTGACTTTTCCACTTGCAACACGCGAACACCAAAGATACTCGTGCCAGCGACTAAAAGGCAGTTTGACGGATAAAATTCATGCGGCTCACCATGTTGAATTGTTGTTGGAGTTTTTCATTCGCATAGTTTATACAAAACTGTTCAAAGCTGTTGATTTCAAATGTTTCGAACCTTATGAACAAAAAGACCAGAGGTAAACAGGTGAAGTTAATCTTTTGATAGATTTTTTTTAGTAAAACAACTTCTCATTTTCTTTACATTCAGCACTGATTAGTTGCTGCAGGAACGTACCCGTAAATGTCGAGCACGCCAATAAAGGAGTGCTGTTTAATATTGGTGACCAGAGCCTTATTCACATGCTCTACAATCCAGTTGAAGAGCTTGGCATAGATATGTTTGGACAAGGCGTCTCGAGCGTTGGTGGCCTGAAGGCGAGACAGGGGCTTGATGTACGTCTCCGTTGCCGTCTTCAGCTTCCTGTGGCACAGCCACTGGGACATATCCTTGTAGGTCACACCGACCAGCTCGCAGAACATCGTCAGGTGGAGATTGTTAGACTAAAGAGGAGGGAAAACAATTATTAAATACCTAATACAGAAACACAATACGAAGGCAAAAAAATTAAGTAAACTAAAGGAATTTTCTGGAAATAAATAGCAAAAAACAGTTTATTAGTTAGTCCCTCGCTACTTCACGGTTCGACTTTTGCGGACTCGCTCTTTCGTGGTTTTTTCAATGTAAGATTGTACATGAGAAGAAAAAAAATTTGTACATGACACACGATTGTCAACTTTAATATTACTCACATGACTGGGACAGTACGGGATGCAGTAAAAAGCTAACGAAAAGAATACTTCAGACAGGGGCCGCCATTTTGTAGTTTTCTCTCAATAAGCCTACACTATCGTCACTCAAAAGGACTACATTTCCCAGAAGTAAACAGGGCAGGGTTTCTAGTGCCTTAAAAAAATATATAAATACTAAAATAAATATAACATCCACACTTCACAGATTTTCACTTATTGCAAGGGGGGCGAGGTCCGGAACGTAACCTCCGCGATAAACGAGGGACTACTGTATTTAGTGTTTACAGACCATAAATGCAGAAAAAAAGTGATGAATATCCTTTTTAATGTGGCAGTAAATACAATATCCTCACAGCAATAATGCTGCTGTCTGAATCTTTTTCTTTCAACTCCACATTTCCCAGATGAAGAATAGCTGCCAAAACCTGGAACAGCCCCATCTGATTGGACTCGTTAATACCTGCAAAAGACAAAAAACACAAACCTCTAGACATACATACACATACACACAACAAAGTGTATGCTGCCTTATGAGAGCAGATACAAAAAAAGTTCTCTTTTCTTGCAGCAGATTATTTAAAATGCTGTTTACAGTTAAAACCTGATAGGAGTTTTCACACAAATACAATACATTATAAAAACATGGGAAGCTGCGTAGGATACGTGTTCCCTACCCAGCAGTGTGAAGGCGTGTCGAGTTGTGCAAAGCTCTTTGGAGTCATCCACGCCATCGATAACAGGACTGCGACCCTGCCTGGTGTATAAGAAGTCATTTGCGTTGGCTGTAAAAAGACAGCATGGATAAGTTAAAGTAAATGCTTTAAATGAAGCTTTACATTGTGCAGCTCGGGTGAACCCGGCCTCAGTAATCAAAGTGGTGTCTGTAAAATAAACGAGCTGAAACTATGACAAGCAACAAAGGCTGCGTTGTTCTTACTTAATGCTGAGTAACCTCGCAAGTAACCAAAACAAAAACCCTGATTAGATTCATCAATTAAATAAAGGACAGAAGTTAAAAGTCAAGTATCAGGGATTTTAATGAAGTGATCCTGGACTAGATTAAGACGCTAGACTGTCGAGACTGCGCAGCACAGAAGATGCTGCACCCTGCGCTCCTACAGCGGGACTCCTTTTACTTATTGCACGTTTGTAAAATCTAATTCTCAGACAATAATTAACTCAAAGAGCCGCCTGGTGTGTGTTCAGTCTCAGATCGATGCCAGTGTGAGGTTCAGGTTCAAAGAAATAAAGTCAAAAGCACCTCTGTGCACGAGTGATGTTATCCCAACTTTCCACAAACAAGGTCTTTATGCACACTTAGCACTTAATTAGAGTCTGTCCTGTTGCCTGGCAACAAGAGGCACTGACATGACTGTGACAACCGCTCCATTAACAGAGCCAGGAAGTCGGCAGGAGAGGAAAAGACAGCAGCTCTGTGTGTGTGTGTGTGTGTGTGTCCACGATGAGCAGGTGCATGCCCACAGTGTGAACACTCTCTTTTGGATGCTGTTCATCCACAGACTTAAGAGGTGGATTTACAGCAAGAAGACAATATAATCCATCTGAGCTGATATAAAACATTATGTTTGTCAGAGAAGCAATACATAAAAGAAAAAATAAAAGGCAATTAATTGTGATATTTGTTATCTTTGTTGGAGATTCAGTGAATTACAGACAACAGATTTTTGGCTCAATGCTTTGGCAACTTTTCTGCCGTGCAAATATTGACTTGTTCCAAACATTAAACTGCTCTTTGATTTGTTTTCAGACTTTTATGAGTGACCAAATAAAACGTTACCAAGCGTCTATTAGTTCAAACATGGTAAAGACAGCTAACACACACAGAGCAGCTGTTTGTGATTTGGTCGCATCAGCAGAATCATAAAAGCTTTATTTTATTTGTGCACACTTTCTATTCAAATAAAAATGCAATGCAACTTGCAGTACTTGAGTCAAAAACAACAAATAACTTAAAAACGGTGCCAATAAGAACATGTTGAAGGCTAAATTGTGATTTTTGTCAAAGAAAGTGGACTGTTTGTGATTTATATTTACAGCTGGAAACTCTGAAATCAGCTCAAAGCATGCCACTCAAGAAAAATAAGTCTATACAATAACATTGAACACAAAGACAACATTTTACAGTGGGTTCAATGCCTGCCTCTGGTGTAATGAAGTGTGTGTGAGGAGGCGGGAGTGCATGTGACTTACTAAGCCTCAGAGTCTTGAACTCAGGCAGTTTAGCTGACGCACAGAGCTGATAGAAGATGTGATAGTTTCTCTCCTCGTCCGCCTGGAAGACAGCAGGAAGAATGAACAGTCCTGACAGATTTGAAACTGGAAGATCTGGAACCAGCAGCTTTTCAGAACGGACATACAGGAAATGTAAAATTACGAGACCAGAGTGCATTCCACCGATAACAGGTATTCAGACTCTTCACTACGTAAGAATGAGTAAAACAACTGAAGCTGCACAGTAAGAAACAGAAAATAAAGACACTTCTTTGCCCCATAAACATACACAAGGTGAAGACATCTAAAAAAACACCCACAGACGCACACGCACAGAGACACACCTAAAATGAGTTTCAGAAGCCTGACGTGCAAGAAATGCAACAAAGAGTCATTGCTTTTCTTTGTCAACATCCTCATTCCTTAGCAGTGCTGTCTATGAGAGCCAAACGTGCGCAGAAATATAACCATAACAAAAAGCTGTGCAGAAATAACATGATCATAGTTTAAAAACAACCTTTATGAACATATGTTCTGATTTAAGCAGGTTTATAAGATTTATTTACTTAAGAAAATACTTTGTAACACTGAATATAACTTAATAGAAAGGATCAAAGGATTGTACTATAACTTGGTGTAACTGGTTGACTGATAAAGACAACTTAACTCATTTCCCTTTTCCCAGTCGTCTTTAAAAAACAGTAAATTGTTGGATACTTCTGCTCTAAATGACACCAGGGCTTGTCTGACAGCTACTTTGTAGCTGATGCCAGTGACCAAATCGCTCGATGTGTTTGTGTTCTAACTACACAGTTCGCTCGATGTGTTTGTGTTCTAACTACACAGTTCGATCATCAGTGTGCACTGTCACAATGCTTAATCCCAGTTAAACGTCTCTCAGTCTGAAGAGTCCTGATGAAGTCTTGGAACATGTCCATACCATCAGAGAGGAAGAAGAAGAGAAAACTGATCAATTCATGAATAAACCTGGTCATTCAGTGTATTCAGGCAGTCAACTAACCTCATGTTTTGTTTTGACTCTCATTTCTGAAGCTAGACCACAACAGGCACAAGGCCTGGTATGTGGACCAATTACCCTGATGCTCACATCACTCCGGAACAGAGTATAATGGGATTTATGACACTTTATGATGATTTCCAATATCCCAGGGTGCAAACTTTATCTTTCCTAGTAAAGCATGTGTTTGTAGGTACCTTTTCATGTGACCCCGGGGAACATTTTGTGGCAGGGATTAGTAGTTTTTTTTTTTTTCCCACCATTCTCATTGTGTCAGGATGCATTCGGCAACTGTTTGCTAAAATCCGGCAACTCTCAAGCTGACTAATAATAAAGTTATGAACAAATATGTCTGTCTTGTTGTTTGGGGAGCTGTGCTTGAACCGTGTCGCTGTGACATCTCCTCAGATGGTGACGCTCTGGACGCTTGTCACCCACAGCATGCGACAGAGAATAAACTCAAAGCGAGAGCGTTACCTGCCCCTCTTCCTCAATTTTTTATTATTTTATTTATCAAAGCACAATTTTTGTGTTTTTTAATACAGAAGTAATGTTTAATAAATGTTAGGACTCTATTCTTTGCTAACAAGTCCTCAGCTCTGGACACATTTTACCCACAGCACGCAGCAACAAAGAGTATAAACTCAAAGCGAAAGCGACACTTGCCCCTCTTTCCTCTTTTGCGTTGACAAAATTTTTTTGTTTTATCGATTGTCAAAGCACATGTTTGATAATAATAACAATAATAATAATAATAATAATAATAATAATAATAATAATTTTATTTAAAAAGCGCCTTTCAGGACACCCAAGAACACTTTACAGTAAGAAACATATCAGAAAGATTATGTTAAAACAAACAACAAGTTGATGTTTTTTTTTTGTTTGTTATAAAAACAGAATAATGTATTTTGTCATTAAACAACTGGTCAGGTTCTTCTCTTGTGAGCGCATTCTCCTGGACACCTCTCCCCCCTCCAGCTCGCTCGCTCGCTCTGCGCTCTTTGCGACTCTGCTGTTGCTGCTCTGAAGACCAAGTCCAGGTCCAGCTAAACATTGAGCAGGAGCTGAGAGCTGCAGGATCATGTTTCAAACTCCGCTTCAAAAAGCTGTGCACTGCAAAACGTGCTCATTGTAGCCATTAATCCTGACTTCCTCAGTCTGATAAAAAAAAAATAAAAATCAGCACAAATTGTTTTATTCATTTTTGTTTTGTAGGCCAAAGTGTTGTATATAACACTCCTGACTTAAAATGTTGCTGATCAATTTGAATTTATTATTATTTATTCATTGTATTTAATTTGGTTGTTCAGTATCAAATGGTCAAAAATGTTTACAGTTAAAATAATGATATATATATTTTTTTATTTCAGGCAAATTGATGCGCTTGAAGCCTTTTCTGTTACAGACTATAAAACAATGTTAATAATATTTGTTGTAAGTATATCTATATTTCTTTCTTTCTTTAATAACTACTCTAGACTCTACTTCCTCAGACAGCTGAGACGAGCTGTTCTGGGAAGCTCAGTCCTCACCTCCTTCTACAGGTGTGCAGTGGAGAGCATCCTGTGCTCCAGCATCAACGTGTGGCATGGAGGCTGCACAGCTGCAGAAAGAAAAGCTTTGCAGAGAGTGGTGAAGGCTGCACAGAAGTCTGTTGGAGTCAGCCTCCCCACCATCACAGACATCTACACCTCCAGATGCATGAAGAGGGCCACTTGCATCATGAAGGACCCCACTCACCCAGCACACACACTTTTTGCCCCGCTCCCCTCAGGCAGGAGGTTGAGGAGCATTAAGTGTAGAACCACTAGACTGAGGAACAGCTTCTACCCTAAAGCTGTTAGACTCATGAATCTCTAACCAGAATAATCACTGTGAAAAAAATCACATCATGTTGCTGCTGATCTGTTTCAATGTTGCTGCTGATCTGTTTCATGTTGCTGCTGATCTGTTTCATGTTGCTGCTGATCTGTTTCAATGTTGCTGCTGATCTGTTTCAATGTTGATGTGTTCATGCGTGCTTATCTGCTCACACAGACTCATGTTCATGTTTGTGCTGATGTTCGATGTCATGTTTTTTATGCTATTAGTGCTTAGTGTATATTTAGTTGATGTTTTTCTTAGTTCATATCTTAGATGTTATCATTGTTTTTCTTTTACATTTTATTGTTGGATGTAACTGGGACCCTGTGTACATAATTTCGCTCCACCACATGTACCACATGTGGTGCGAATGACAATAAAGTATCTCTGACTCTCTGACTCTGATTAAATGTTAATACGGATACAATGTTATGCAGAGGTGTATTTCTAACAATTTCATAGACAAATTATACTATTTAGTCACGGCGGAGAGTTGGGGGGGGGGGGGCAAAATGTTTACTTCTTTCTAGGGGGGCGAAACCGAAAATAATTGAGAAGCACTGGGTTAAAGTAACCTATTGTCCTCTGTAAAACAGCAATTATTACTACAGTAATTTTCCAATGTAGGCTCTTTTCTGTTTGCTTTTGTTTAGCTAACACTGATTTTTGAAATGTTTTAGCCTGACAATATCCTTATTTCTACCGAGAAGCTCTAAGGACTTGTATAGCAAAAACAAGTTCAGTGATAATGTAAAACAAATCTTATTTGATGGAGCAAAATATATGTTAAAGCAAAGCAAATGCTTGTTGCTCTCCAGATCTATCAGAAAATATGTTCTGGGTTTACTACACCTATCTCCATTAGAGACAAATTTGGAATAAAAAAACAAAAACACAGTTTACACATTAACTTAGTCCATTTATTAGATATGCCTGAGTCAAATCTAACAAGCTGTGATTAAACACAATGTGAGCATTAGGGCCCTCACCTGGAACACCACTCGTGATTTCTCCAGCAGATATGTTCTCATATTGGCTCCAATGATATGATATCGATTGTCAAAGCCGATCTCGATGTATTTTCCAAAACGACTGCTGTTGTCATTTCTGGTGGTCTTAGCATTTCCAATGGCCTAAACGTTGGAGAAAAAGCAAAAGCATTACATGTTGATGTCCACAACATATTGTTACAAACGGGTCATTTCAAATTTTTTTCACTTTACATCAACAGTGAAACAAATCAGGGAGAGGTAACTTTTCTGTCTAAGCACAATCTGGTTGTCAACAAGATCCCTTAATTCAGTCAAATTACACCAGACTTGATCATTTGGGTAAAATTTGGGGTAACTTTAGGACCATTAAAACAACTAAACAAACTGTAATACCGACCTTTGTTGGGGCCGTGTTCTAAACTCTTGAATTGTTGCTTTCATTTTAATTAGAAAGTTTAACAAAACACTTATCATAACTCAAAAATTACACAGCATCTTAGTCATTTTCTCAGTGCTGTATCATTTTAGCAAAGACACTAAGAAGAGTCAGATGAGTGGATAAATACTGTTGTGGTTTACTCCCTGTAAACAAGAAGTTGCAACTTATGTTTTAAGGTTGTCAGTATTTCTAGACACTGGTCTTCAACTTTTATTGCGTTTACTACTTCTTCCTGAGCTACTATATGAGGTCAAGTACATCAGCTGCAGTCAGCAGCTTCAATACAAACTGCACAACACTGATCAATGATCCCAGTAGCAGATGTCAGTATACGGGTGGAGCTGCATAAATACACGCATCAAAGCTACACAAGCTGCAAGCCTGAACAGAATTTGATTATGTGTGAGCACGGAGGGTTCTTGCTGAGTTAAGGCCAAACACACAGTCTTTCACTGAGGACAAGGAGTTATTCAGCAGAGCAGGTATTCCAATAAACATGCGCGCACACACATGCATAAACAAGCGCGCACACACATGCATAAACAAGCACGCACGTACACACACAGTTTTTTTTTTTTTTTATCAGAAAAGCTGATGCAACCATTCCCTGCATCCAGGTTTAGAGTCTGAGTGACATCACTGCAACACAACAAGAAAGACTTCTATTCATTCTGTCAGCTTGTTTCCGATTGGCTGAGGCATTAAAGTTGGGGGGTGGTGGAGAGAGACTGCAATGTTAGCACAGTGGTTGAAAAGAAGTGATAGGGTGAGGAACGAAACAAGGTGGGGAAAGTGACGTTTGTGTATGAGAGAGCTCTCCAACCCCTCCATAACTCATGACTCTATGGGAATAAAAACACAAAACAACCTGTGCAATGCTAGCTGAGAGCAGCTCAGGGAAAGAAATGGCGCTTAGCCACTGTCTACTCTCATTGGCTCCGCATGACTCAGCACCAGTTAAGCGCCTTCCACACTAGGCCTGTCACGATAACAAATTTTCCTGGGCGATTGTCTCAGAAATTATTGCGATAAACAATAATATTACTTGAAATTTCACAATAATTAGTAATTATTGTCAAATTTAAGAAGAAATGTTTGTTAATTTGTTTTGTATGTAGTACCTTTTTTCGACCACCGGATGGCAGTATAAGACTGAATAGAAGGATGGATAGTGAGGGAGCAGCCTCTAAGAAAAATGGGAGGGAGGCCCCTTGACGAGACATGGACTGTCTCTCTTCGGTTCTCAAAATGGCAGATGCTCGGTGTGGTTTGAGCTCTTTAGCATAGCATTTTTCACACAAAGCTTTTAATAACAAATCAGTAAACAAGTTCTCAGCTTATTTTTGCAGAGAAAAACAACTTTTTACACGAAGCCACAAGTTTCAACCATGAATTTTGGAACTTCGACAAGATGCAAGTTTTTTCCTTCGAGGTCCGTCTGTTAGCTTAGCTCGTAGCTTAGCTTCTCAGCTGCTTTTAACGACCCAAAATATGATTTTGGACAGTTAAAATTGATTTTAAAGAGAAAAGAGAAAGGGAGAGGTCAATGAAGAGCACCGGATTTGAGTTTTTTGTCATCCAGTGTCTTCAGAAAGAGAAAGACACGAAGAAACGATAAAGCCGATAAATGAAAATGAGGTTGATAATTTTCATTTATTATGCGATTAATTGATTTATTGTTTATCGCGACAGGCCTACTTCCCATTATCGGTCTTCACCCCACTTAGCTTGGTTTATGGAACCACCTTGTTTGAGGTTCCAAGCGGACTCCTCCAAATGGCCAATTTTCACATAAGCGGACAGCAGCCATTGATTGGCCAGTAGAACTACATCACTGGATGACTCGCCCAACAAAACTGCATCTGAACCTCCACTTCCTTATCAAGTTGACGGACAGCGCCACAAGAATTGAGCAAATTTACAGAAAGATATCGGAGACGATGGCACAGCATGGCTACACCTGGACCTATAAGCAGAGACAAGACAAGCTAAAGAAACTGAAGTCCAATTATAGGACAATTAAGGATGGGTGGAGCGGCTTGACAACAAAACGACCAGTCACAATCCCGATCACTTTGCACTGATGACCTCACACACACAGAGTGGGGAAACAGGTCAGCCTCCACTGTAGTGGCAAATCACCTACACCTGAGAAGAACCGAGGAGAGGAGAACCAAGTGGAAGCGCACTTACCGATGGCAAAGCGGTAAAAGACAGCGTGGTGAGTGAGAGGAAAAGCTGATACTAAACCCATAGCAGTCACAAGCACTCAAACACAAAACGCCTGAAGACAGGCAGGACTTTCACATTGGAGAAAATCCAAGTTCCACAGATTATACTGAGTATACAGATTGTACAAAGCCAAATAAGTAATTTATTTCATACTTTCAGCCAAAAAGGTCATGAATTAATTTAAAGTTTTCTACAGAAAGCACCCTGCTGCATAATAAAGTGTTTTAGTTCGCCAAAAGCAGACTTTGAACGTTAGACAATAGACGAGACCAGCTTAAAGATAAAACTGGTCTCCTCACCTCCATGATGGGGTTGGAGGCCAAAACCTTTTCCTCTACGTTGGCGTCGCTGGCAGAGCCACTGACTGTAGCAAAATATCTCATTGCATATTTGGCTGATACCGTCTTTCCTGCTCCGGACTCCCCGCTCACAATAATTGACTGGTTTCTCTCATCCCTGGAAGATGAAACAAAACAAACTATTATCACATTAACTCAATTAATGTAAACCAGATCTTGGAAAAAAAAAAAAAGAAAAAAAAAAATACAGAGCTTACAATCTGTTTTCTTTTTTGTCTTCTTACAGACTTTTTGTTTTGAGTAAAAAACTCATACTTGTCCATCAAAAAACAAGTAGCCTGAAAACTGATTAGAGACTCAATATAAAGTTTGTGGGAAAAATGTTAAAATACCTTCATTTCACATGCATCAAAGTCTCAGGGACCAGTTTAACTTGTAGGTTAAAAAAAGAACACATACTATTTTCAACTTTAATTCTTTTATATAAACATTTATTCTCAACAATTGTTTTCATTAAAATCAGGGGTTTGGTCATTTTTTTTATTTATAAGCTTTGGGGGAGTGGTGGAGCAGAGATTAGAGAAGGTGGGCCTGTGATTGGAAGATCGCCAGTTCAATTCCCCGTACCAACATCAAAAATGTGGGTAGGAAAGGCGAAACACTCACACCTGCTTCCACCCTCATTTGCTCCACTCTGGGCCCTTGAGCAAGGCCCTTAACCTCCACCATCTTCTCTCCCGGGCACCCTAGATGGCAGCTCTCTGCTCCACACAGAGGGCTGTGGTAGCTCCGTGGTCTGTGGTTGCGTCTGGAAGGGCATCTGGCATTAAAAAAAAATAGTCAAGTCTTCGTGCGAGTTAGTTCGCTGTGGTGACCATGAGGAAGGGAGCAGCCGAAAGAAGAAGAAAAACATTTATTTAATCCTTCAACTTTATTGGCGAATGATTTAGGGTGAAAAGAGGAGTTTTCACTCCAAGTTCTATGTTTTTCTACATTCGGCTCGCTCCAGCTTGTCTCATAGCTTCCATCACTGATAAACATCTCATTAGTATGATGCTACCACCACCATGTTCAAGTATAGGGATGGTATTAGAAGAGTGAGGCTTAGTGCCAGGAGCTTGGAAATACCAGCCTAGTATTAATTCTCATCAGAGCAGATTTTAACAATGTGTAATATAAAGGTTTACTCCCAGTAGGTCATCGTTTGAGTTGAGGAATGAATGGTCCAGATGCTACCTTATAGCCTAATTTATGAAGTCCAGCACAGAAAGCATTCATTGTGTAAAGTTTTTCCACCTCGTAACAGGAATTCTGGATTTCTTTCAGTGTCCACTGGGTTCCTGTTTACCTTTTGACCTTGATGATTCAGTTTGGCTGAAGTTAAATCTAGGAAGGTTTCTCCATTGTAAAAAAAAAATGTATTAATTAAAGACTTTAAAAAGCTGCAGAAACCTCCTTTCACATCTCTCTGTCTGTGATGACACTATCTTTCAGGTTTATGAATGGTTCTCTTAACCCATGGCTTTGATTTACCTCTGACAAACACCGTCCCCTGCAGGACATTACATAATATAAATGGATGAACGTCCTTTACAAATACTTACTTCTTTGTGTTAGCTCCTCGTACATGCTGTTTGTTTTTGTTGTCATTATGAAGCCTTATTTAGGACTACAGTACAATTTTAATCTTTGCTATGATCACTGAAGAATAATGGGACCTGAAGTGGTCTAAAAAGTGATGGTGGTATACTCCATACAGAAGCTTCCCTGCTAATATATCCTCTGTCATTGCCACGTGTAAGATATGATATGTAGTACTCAGTTTATAGCAAGATGTGTATGTCAACATGTTAAAACCTAAATTTCTTTGAATAGAAGCTAAAAATGTACTGATTTCACTGTGGCAGAATAAAGCAGCTTTCTTTTAACATTTATGTTTAAGATTAAAAGAGAGAGAGAGAGAGAGAGTGGGTGAGACCACTGAGTGGCTATTTCAGGCTCAGATTTGACCTACAAACCATGAAATGACAGGGAGAGCTGAGCAACGGCGAGACTTCAACCAAGGCTGCTCAGGTAACACACACACGCGCGCGCGCATGCGCACACAGACCTTGCCATCTGTTTATAAGCCTCCTCTGCCACTGCAAAGATATGTGGGTCCATGTCTCCCATGTTCTGGCCACTGTAGGCATTGATGATGTCTGTCCCATAGATTGGCAGCGTCTCGTACGGGTTGATGGCCACAAGAACAATTCCTATGAGACAAAAACAAGAATGGAAAAAATATAAACTTTTTTTTTAACATAAAGAACATCAAAACCAAACAAAAAGGTATGAGCAAAACTTGTAGTGTAAAGACTATATAAAAGCTCAGACAATTTTTAACCAATAAAATGTTCAATCACCCACTTTGAAACATTTTTCAGTTGTTAAAAGTTAACTGACGCTTACAAGTTTTCCATTTTAATCATCAAAATTTTGCCTCCAGTACTACCTCAATGATAATAAGCAATTGATTGGATGTATGATTGGATGTAGCGAACTTGTAAATTTAATTAGACATTAAAAAGTGAAATAATTCTCCTCACCACAGTAGGTGTAGATAAGTTTAGAGTCGATGAAGCGGACTTTGAGGTTGTGGAGCACGGCTGGCTCATGGAGGTAGCTAAGGGCTGTGAGATCATTCTCACCCACCAAGATGTCAGGGTTTCGTAGGTGAGGCAGGTTCTTTGTCTTGGGGTCCAGCTTGTGGTCAATGTTCTGGGAAAGAGTGGGAAAACACACACAAAACCAGTCGCATTAGATAAAATGGAAAACTTGATTAAATGCTGCATCAGTTCCCCTGCCTATAGATTTATTACCACAGAATAAAATCATGAGAAACGTTTTTGTGTTGGACTAAAAGATTCACAAATCTCAAATGAATCCTAGCATTAACCACTCTTTAGTTGCACTGATTAAACTAAAATAGACAAGCTTACTGTGAAAACTGTATTCTTAATGCCAAGGTAACTAAGGCTGCACAGTACATTGAAATGAATTATTTATCACAACGTCAGTGAGTGCAATATCATCACAAAAGACTAATATACAGGTAATATGTACCACACATTCATGTTCTGCATGCTAAGAGTGTATTTGGTATATCCACAGACTCTCACTGGCCTGGATGCTCACATCTGGTTAAGATGGTATTGATGACAAAAGAAAAAAATGAGGTGAGGGAAAAGTGGGTTTATCACAACTGGCAGTGGTAACGCTAACATCTAGCTTGCTAACTACAAAATTAGCTTCGCTAACGCTAAACGTATTTAAAAAAATGGCAGAAGTTTATGTTAAAGCGCTAACTTTTATCATACATGGCTGTTGCTGACAGGGCGGCATGGTGGTTCAGTTGGTAAGAGCTGTTGCCTGTCAGCAAGAAGCTCGCAGGGTCAAATCCTGGCCATGGACCTTTCTGGGTGGAGTTTGCATGTTCTCTCCGTGCATGCGTGGGTTTTCTCCGGGTACTCCGGTTTCCTCCCACAGACCAAAAACATGCATGTTAGGCTGATTGGTGACTCTAAATTGTCCCTAGGTGTGAGTGAGAGTGAATGGTTGTTTTGTCTTGTTTGTCTCTATATGTCCCTGTGATGGACTGCAGACCCATCCTGGGTGTGCTCTGCCTCTCGCACAGTGATAGCTGGACATGGGCACCAGTGACCCCCGTGACCCGAAAGGAAGAAGCGGGTGAAGACGACGGATGGGTGGAGTCACTGACACTGTTAAGACTGTAATGTAACAAAGTTGTAAGTGAACACAACTCAAAATGGTTCATAAATCAAAACTAAAGTGTTAATTTTGGTGATCCGCTTTGTGGTCAACTACTTTTATAAACTAACTTCAAAGTTGCTGTAATTTAAACATTTTTTTTATTATTAAACCTTTATAAACCAGATTTAAAAAAAAAAAAACATTGCGATCAAGACGTCTTTCACAAGGGTGACCTGGCTAAGAAAAGGCAGCAGTGCACATCATAAAAACAAGACAAGTAACAAGATAACAGAATAGGACTTCAGAGATATAAAAACATACAATATGACAGTAAAGAGCAATGGTTGTAATGATAAAAAATAAAAAAAAACAATGGCAATTTGAGATCTGGCATTTTGTAAATTTTCACAAAGTGCAGTAATGTAAATTGTAAATAAGATGGGCCCCAAGACAGAGTCCTGGGGTACACCCTTTTCTACCTTAAGAAAACTTGAACTTACTCCAGCCATCTGTGCACATTTTGTTCTATTTTCCAAATAATCTACAAACCATTAAGATGCTTCTTTGGAGATGCCCAATTTGAGAAGGACATTTAACTGGATACTGTGATCCACCGCATCAAATGCCTTGGATAAATCAATAAACAGAGCAAAACATACCCTTTTAGAATCTAGTGCCTCAAACATAATAATTATGTTTGTATTAAAATAAAGATGTGTGAAACCATGTGTTAGAGAGTCACGTCCCAGAGACGGTGGGTAATACCACATGTAAGAGTTGACATGTAGCACTCTTAATTTATAGCAGTAGTTGTAAAGCATGCTGGGTAGAAATTATGTGTGCAATGTTTCCGACTGTTTACAATGTTTCTGAGTGTGAAAATGGGTTTTTCATGTTCAACAAAGTCACTCCCACTGTTTGGTGGGCTCCTCAGACTGAAGAAGTCTTTTGGATGAAAGGTGAAACGTCTCAAACAACAAAATAAACCATCCAGATGACCTGACTGAACATTGTTGGATTTATACCTTGATTAATGAGCATGAACTTTGGTGTCCTTTTAACAGAAATCTATGACTAATTAACTCGCTTTTTAACAAATGTCCACAAATGTCTGGAAACCCTGAACTGAACCCTGAACCAGGCAAACAGAACCAAACCAAAACTGATTTGATACCCCAGTGATACAGACATTTAACAATGATCATATGAAGCTTAGTAAGGAGGTAATAATACGGCAACTAATTCAGCTACTGGGTTTAAATAAAGGACTGCTTCTTTGCCATTGCTAGAAGGAAGAAGCCAGTATTCATAGCTGCTTGCATCCAAAGCCAACAAATTTATTGTACTGTGATACATTTGAAATGCTCCTTGGAGGCATCTTTGCTTCAAAGTCCCAATGATGTGCTAATGATAAAACCAATACCCACTAATGAGATGCAGCAGAAGCAGAGCGAGAAATAGACAGGGTTAAAAATAGAGAGAGGAGACAAATTTTCCTCACACCCCACTGTTTTTTTTAATTTATTATTCTCACCGTTCCATCTTCCAGCATGAGCTGCAGGGAGGCGTCGCCATTTTTGTAGTCCTTGATCAGCTCGGCAGATTTCCACACCTCCTCAGCGTCAGGGATCCACACCCGAGCAGACTAAGACACAAACGGAGAGGGGAAAAACAAAAACAATTACAAACAAAGCAAATAGTTTAAAAACACAAACACTCAGCTGAATTAAACCATCAGTAAATATTAATTTCTTTTTATGCCCTCAAAGTGTTTTAAGATGTTATACATAATATTGAAAGTTGTGGTGTGGCGTCTTCGTCTGGTTTCCTTGTAGACAATTCAGTAAAAGCTGAAGGTTTGACAGCAGAGACATCTTGCTTCCTCTGTGCTAATCGTTAAGCCAGCATGACTTTAGTGAAAACACTGGGGTCTATGTTTCCAGTCATGAGCACACGGTTCATAATGGTCAGTAAAGTGGTGGGAACTAACTACGGAGCAGCTCATGACAGCTGAAGAATGCTGCTGTAGATATCGCAAAGTTATAACCCTAGATGTGTCTCATGCTCTCATGCATCAACATTAAATAATTCAGGTCTTATGAACATTCATTCAACCTTTATTTAGACAGGTAAATCCCATTGAGCCTCGAGGACTCATTTAAAAGAGCGACCTGATTTCAACAAAACATGTGGCCTGGCACGACAGACGTGGAAAAAATTAAATCCAGATCAGTACAGATGCACAGGTTTGCATGTGCATGCACAGACCTGAACACTCATTCAACCTTTATTTATACAGGTTAATCCCGTTGAGCCTCGGGGACTCATTTACAAGAGACACCTGAATTTTAACAAAGAGTGAGGACAACAGTGGACAACAACAACATTAGACAACCATAAAGGATGCGTACAAATTATTATTATTATTTTAATCAAGTGAAAATAAAATGGTAATTAAAAGGATAATGAAAAGGACTGCATGTAATAATGTCCTGAGAGCGCACGCTGTAACTGCACTTATGCAGAGACATGTAGGAGATGTATGAAGGCAGCAGACCAAGAAGTGATTTAAAGATGAAAATGTACCAGTGGGAGAGTCTGTGTGAAGTTAATGATGTCCAGTTAACCAGTGAATACAGGGTGCAGTGGTGGGTACGATAGTTACAGCCAGTTATGAATCTTAGTGCACCATGATAGACAACGTCCAACATCTGCAGGGTTCTTGTAGGAGCGTTCATGTAAACAATGCCACCGTAATCAATGGAGGGAAGGAAAGTTGTAGTTGCAAGGCATTTCCAAGCATTCAGAGTTAAACAGGATCTATTTCTGAAAAAGAAACCCAGTTTAACTTTCATTTTCTTTACTAGGTTTTCCACGTGAAGCTTAAAAGAGAGATGCGAGTTGACCAAGATACCCAAATATTTGTAGGAATCGACAAACTCAATAGAGACACATTCGAGGATAAAATTAGAGGAAGAACTGATGGGACCAACTTCCTGTTTGAAAAAGCATCCCTTTGGATTTGTTGGCATTTAGGACAAGTTTGAGACAGAACAAATCTGACTGGATTATGTCAAAGGTGGATTGCAAAACCTGGAAAGCCTTCGCAACTGTTTTAGCTCAACAATAAATAACTGTCATCAGCATAGAAATGCAAGGATGCATCAGGGATGCTCTGACCTACATTACCTATGTAAATTGTAAAGAGGGTGGGTCCTAAGACTGAGACTTGTGGTACACCATTGTTGACTGTTAAATAACTGGAGGAAATACCATTACGTTGAACACATTGCCTCTGATATGAAAAATAGTTAAAGAACCAAACAATGGTGTGATCTCAGAAACCAATAATAACACAATTAAATGTTGGAAATATACAAAATATAAAGACAGCAAACTTACAATTAAACCTTCAGAGCAAACTCACATTTGCAACTTTGACGCCATTCAATGTGAATTTCACTTCTCCACAGAAGCCTCCAGATTACTTGCATGATAAGAGCTTGTGTAACTGAAGCACATGACGGTGAGCAAAGAGAATCTTTCTGCAAGTTTGAGAACGATTTAATTGAAAAAAATTTTTACATCGTTACATAAACTGTTGATGACATGTTCACAGTTTCTAAAGAAAAACGCCTCATTGTAGGACACAAACTGGTTTATTACGTCTGCTACTCCACATCTGATCACCAGAATCATGACTTCATGGTCACACATTCATGTTTTCTCATGGGAATAAGGAGCACTGAAATAAAATGATAGCTACAGCTGTGAAAATTCTTGTTTCTTTACCATTAAAAATACTTCCAACGTACATTAACATCTGTAAGTATTATTCTGTTACTTGAGAACATCTAAACAGGGGTGTCCAAACGTTTTCGGATGTGGACCAAAACTATCCAGATAAAAGGACTCGTGGGCCACAAAAATATGAATTTAACTCTCAACATGAACAATATTTTGTGGAAAGGACAAATTTACTCATTTTAATGGAGAAAGAGTTTTAAATTGTTGTTGATCCAAAACATTAAAAGCCTAAAACACTAAGCTTAGATTTTTTTTTTATTAAAAAGGATTTGATTTCTTGTTCTATGTTTGTTGTTTTCTTGTGTTTGGAAAGTTCATTTTAGTTTTAGTTTGTTCTCAGCAACAAAAGCGTAATGTGAGTAAGTGTCCTTTTAATAGGGGGTCGATCAGCCTTTTGGACCATGGACGACCCAAAAGGCTGATCGAAGTTCTGAAAAATCATCCAGATGTCAGTCGCTACAACAGATTCATAGAAGGTTTGATTTTGCTGGTAAACCTAAAAATAATATAAAACAGAATTACCAACAAATGTGCAGAAAGTCTGTATCAACCTCTTCAAGGCTCCGACATGCTCGGGTGTACTGTGCTCCGTGAGCCGCACAGACTATGCGCACACTGTCCACAGATGTTGAGACTTCATACTCGAGCGTACACTCTGATGGGCTGCAGCCCAGCTCTGCAGGCAAGAGCATTTACGTTACCTTTGGAACAAATTGAAGTTGCCGATTGGTCATTTGCACGCCTACTGGATTGATTGACAGGTTGAAAAAAAAAAGAGCTGGCAGCCCAGCGGCAGCAGTGTTCTGTGTATATGTTGTTAATAAAAAGTTCTAAAAAGTTTTTAAAAAACAGGGAGCGCTGGCCCTGCAGCCCACACACATCAGACCAGCCCACCAGGAAATCTCCAGACCCTCCCGCAGCCACGCCAGGCCTGATTGTAATTCTCTCAGGACAAATTCCTTCGTTTCTCACAATTTGAGTCATGGTGTCAATGGACGAGGAGGAAGAGATTGCTTGCCTCTTGGCAAAAACAAAACAAAACAAAAAACAAACAAACAAAAAAGGCTATTAAACCAGACCACGGATGAAGAAGGGGAATTTAACACATTGGTGTCACATACATAACAGTCTGTCGCCAGGCAGTTTATTGTGCGACACAGAGTATGCGTACGCGGTCGTAAACATTGATCTTTGCGCGGACATGCCTTGCGGGCGTTCGCTTTGAATCTAATCTGGTACGTGCAGACCTCCACGGACTGAAGTACGCCCAAGTATGTGGGAGCCTTAAGCCTGCTGAACAAAATTATACCATTCTTAAACTGCAGCTGTGGACTGCACAAAATCACTGCAAGGGCCACAAATGGCCCTCAGGCCACACTTTGGACACTATTGATCTAAAGAAAGTAGATGTTCTCAAGAGCCCTTAAAGCACCAACCTCTCCAAACTCTCAAGTTGTTTGCTTCTTTTAATCTGGAAAATGTTTCGCCATATAACCACAAAACTTGTGTTTAAGCTTCTTAATTGCAATTTTGTAGTTCCACTGAACATCTGCAAAAAGATTAGAGAACATGCTTTAATGCGGGATGTGAAATTTAAAAAAAAACTATTGTATTGACTTTCAAACAACAATGACATCTTCCTTTGTGTGTAAGCATAACCTCTGGATGGACCTTTGTCTATTTTCCCCCTTCTTCCACCATTTTGTACACTATTTCACCTTTTTGGTCCTGATACAGAACGTCCTAGCAGCCAGCCTCCTAGCAACGAGGAGACAGAGGAAAGGATGAGGAGGGGAGGTTAAAAATAGTAACAGAGTTTTGAGCAGCGTCACACCTCACAGCGCTACCGAGCTCACTTCCTGATCCTGATAATCACACACACAGACACACCTTCATTTTACACATCGCTGGGTGCAAAGCTGATTAGTTTTCAGCTATGCTAAAAGATGTTGCCAAGCAGCTCAATTTTTTGCTTTCTATGTGAGACACAGACATGTACTGGAGGCTGAGACGTAAAAGAGAGAAAGCTCTAACTTCAACTGCAAGGGCAACGAACCATATTTAGATTCCTCTGGGTTTATAAAAAAGGAGATGAAGGTTGAAACTTGACCACACACACACAAAAGCTGAACGATAAATGCTTCAGAGGTCAGAATGAACTGTTGCTGTTCTGCACTTAAATAAAACACAAGCTGGAAAAATAGTAACTGCAAGCTGGTATGTTTCAGAAGATAAATGTATGGACAGATGAGAGGATGGTGGACAGACTGCAGCGTAATGTGTGGAAGATGATAAAGAACCAGAGAGAGATCACATGACTCAAGTCTCTCTTCCTTGCTTTGCTGCATGCAGCTTTTTGGGACACGATGTGCACATTCTCAGCTTTACATTATTCACACAGCATGAAAACAATTAACTTTATACTTGCATCTAACCGAGTGTGTTTATAGTTAAAAAGACCTAAAGTAGGATTTTTAATTCCAATCGTTTCATGCCTGACAAAGGCAAAAAGGAACGGTTCAGGTGACTTTTGATTTGGTCTAGTAAGAAAAAAAACAGTACAGCTGTGCTTGGTACTGAAATTTCATATGTTTAAGAGATACACCTAACATAGATTTGGACAGGAAGATTATTTTTACATTTGGTATCAGCGTTGGGTTAATGTGGCCATTATGCTGACTTCAAAACTGTGTTCATGGCGTCAGGCGATAAAGATACAGTGGGAGGCAGCCACACCAGCAGTGTAGACACACACAATCAGAAAAGGTAAATCAGTTCATACAAGTACACCGATGAGTGTGTATCACACTTACATGGAGTATAATTGTATCATAGTCA